TTATCAAGTCTGTTGAAAAGTCTGACAAGGCCGGTAAGGTTACTAAGGCTGCTCAAAAGGCTGCTAAGAAATAAGCTTCTTAAACTTGTTTGGGATCATCCACTTGAATTTAATACCAAAAATTTTGAGTTTTTCTTCCTACGGTTTAAATTTGGTTTATTTTATAAGTAATTTTATAGTTAATGTTTAATAGGTGTTCAAATTTTGTCGCATCGTAGTATCTAATTAATTTGCATCGCTTCCTCCATCCGAGCTAATGTAACTGATGGGGTGCCGGATATATGGTTCCATTTTGGACGATGCCATTCCTGAAAAATTTCCTTATCATCTACATGTGATTGTTCGGCGCCTCTCGAGTCAACAATCCGATAAGAGCGAGATTGACAATTAGTAGTTTATAAAATTGATATCTTCTCTTCATTTTTAGAGTAGCTTCTATGTTACCATAGCTCTGATATTAGGAGAATAGGTGTTATATTGTACAAGTAAACGGATGGTTAAAAAAATTAATGAAAAAGCCGAGTCAGTTTCTGGGAAAACCCGAGTCACAAAAACACCGTGTATAAATATTTTCATTGACTCCGATCTCTAGCAAAACTTATATTGGCCTATGAAGTATTTAAACCATGTAGAATCCTTATAAAAAGAGTCTTAGTGGGTTTTATCATCTTTCATCTTTGATTCATTAGATATATTCATAGATTAATTTTTTTTTGTTTAAATATCCAAAAAAAATAATAGAGAAGGATGATTTCAAGAGTTGTTGCAAGATCAGCTCGTGCAAATAGATTGTCAGTATTGACAAGATCTGCTCCAAGGGCATATAACTTGAATTTAAAATTTGCTGCTAATAGCAGATTTTTAGCTTCTAAGGCAGACACTTCATCCGCTGATTATGAGAAGGTTTACGATCCAAGTGCCAAATCAGTCTCTTTAGGCAATTTGGACACATTCGCTAGACGTCATCTTGGACCTACTCCTGAAAACGTCAAGACCATGTTGACTACTTTAGGATACAAGGATTTGGATGAATTTTTAAGCAAGGCTATCCCAGAACATGTTTTATACAAGAGAGCATTGCAAATTCAACCACAACAAGGGTACACCGAGCTGGAAATGTTGGAGCATTTGCATAACTTAGCTAATAAGAACAAGATTGTCAAATCCTTCATTGGTAAGGGTTATGCAGGTACTAAGGTTCCACCAGTGATCCAAAGAAATTTATTGGAATCACCAGAATGGTACACCTCTTACACTCCATATCAACCAGAAATCTCGCAGGGTAGATTGGAATCGTTATTAAACTACCAAACCATGATTACTTCCTTAACCGGATTAAATATGGCCAATGCTTCCTTATTGGACGAAGGTACAGCAGCTGGTGAAGCCATGTCCTTATCATTCCACAGTTTAAAGGGCAAAAAAGGCAAATATATCGTTGATACCAACCTTCATCCTCAAACTTTAGACGTTATTAAGTCTAGAGCGGAAAATATTGGTGTTGAAATAGTTCAATTGCCTTTATCTACCGAAGAAGGCATCAAGGAATTAGAAAAGATTGCGTCTGAATCATGCGGTGCTTTAGTTCAATACCCAGGTACTGATGGTTCTCTTCACAACTACACTAAAGTCGGTGAAATTGTCCATGCTCACAAGGGTCTTTTCGCCATGGCCACTGATTTATTGGCTTTAACTTTAATCAAATCGCCAGCTGAATTTAACGCCGACATAGCATTGGGTACTTCTCAAAGATTCGGTGTTCCATTTGGTTACGGTGGTCCACACGCTGCTTTTTTTGCAACCAACCTGAAATACTCTCGTAAGATTCCAGGAAGAATCGTCGGTTTATCAAAAGATAGATTAGGCAAACCAGCTTTGAGATTGGCTTTACAAACCAGAGAGCAACACATCAAGCGTGAAAAGGCTACTTCCAACATTTGTACTGCTCAAGCTTTATTAGCCAACATGGCTGCTATGTACGCCGTTTACCATGGTCCAAAGGGATTGAAGGATATTGCTTCTAGAGTATATGGCTACACTACAGTTTTGGCTAATGAAATATCTAACAATTCTCAACACGAAATTGCCAATGACAAATGGTTTGATACCTTAACCATTAAGTTAGGCGGAGGTGTTAAGGCTGATGAAATCTTGAATAAGGCTCTTAATGAATATAATATCAATTTATTCAAGGCAGGTGAAGATAAGGTCTCCTTATGTCTTGATGAAACTGTCGAAGAAAAAGATTTAGTTGCATTAGTCGACGTTTTTACAGGAAACAATCTGTTTAACACTTCTTCAATCACAGAATTACCAAAATTACCAACTGAATTATTGAGAACTGATGAAATCTTGCCTCATCCAGTTTTCAATACACACCGTTCTGAAACCTCCATGTTACGTTACTTACATTTATTACAAAGTAGAGATTTGTCATTGGCTAACTCTATGATTCCATTAGGTTCATGTACCATGAAATTGAATGCCACCGTTGAAATGCAAACTTTGTCTATGCCAGGTTTTAACCAAATCCATCCATTTGCTCCATTGAACCAGGCTCAAGGTTACAAAGAATTAGTTGACGAATTTGAAAAGGATTTAAATGACATCACTGGTTTTGATGCTACAACTAATATGCCAAATTCTGGAGCTCAAGGTGAATACACTGGTTTATCATTAATCAGACAATATCACAACTCCAAGGGTGAACACGAACAAAGAAATATCTGTCTTATTCCTGTTAGTGCTCACGGTACCAACCCTGCCTCTGCTGCTATGTGTGGATTAAAGGTTGTTCCTGTCAAGTGTTTAAGTAACGGTTCTATCGATTTGGATGACTTGAAGGTAAAGGCTGAAAAGCACGCTGAGAATCTTTGTTCCATTATGATCACATACCCATCTACTTACGGTTTATTCGAACCAGGTATCAAGACTGCAATTGAAGTAGTGCACAAGAACGGTGGTTTGGTATACTTAGATGGTGCTAATATGAATGCGCAAGTTGGTTTGACCTCGCCAGGTGACTTAGGTGCTGATGTCTGTCACTTGAACATTCACAAGACTTTTGCATTATCCCACGGTGGTGGTGGACCAGGTCAAGCCCCAGTCTGTGTAAAGGAACACTTGAAGCCATTCTTACCAAAGCATCACTTCTTAGACACTCCTCATTCCACCAACGAATCCATTCAAGCTGTTAACTCTGCTCCATACGGGTCTGCTTCTGTTATTCCAGTCTCTTACTCATACATCAAGATGTTGGGTGCCAAGGCCTTACCACACGTTTCCTCTATTGCCATGTTGAATGCTAACTACATGTTAGAAAAGTTGAAGGACCACTACCAAATCATGTTCGTTGACCACAGCGCCTCTACCGACGAAGGATTGAAGCACTGTGCTCACGAATTCATCTTGGACTTGAGAGAATTCAAGGCTGTTGGTGTAGAAGCCATTGATGTCGCTAAGAGATTACAAGATTACGGCTTCCATGCCCCAACCATGTCTTTCCCAGTGGCCGGTACATTGATGATTGAACCAACCGAATCCGAAAACTTGGAAGAGTTGGACAGATTCATCAACTCCTTATTGTCCATCAGAAAGGAAATCGAAGCCATGGCCAACAAAGAACCTTTAGGTCAAGTTTTGAAGAACGCTCCTCACTCGTTGGAAGACATCATTTCTACTAGCCAAGCCGACTGGGAAACTAGAGGTTACACCAGAGAACAAGCTGCCTATCCATTGCCATTCTTGAAACACGCTAAGTGCTGGCCTGGAGTTTCTAGAGTTGACGATACTTACGGTGACATGAACTTGATGTGCACTTGTCCATCAGTTGAAGAAGTTGCTGCTGACCAATAAGCATAGTTTTTGGGTTCTATCTTTTTACTATTCGCTAATTTTCTTACATACACATATTTATAGGATAAACATACAATACTACAATTAATATCAAGTTATTATAATGAAGACGGAGTCAATATAAGTAATAGTAATAGTTGATCACATGACCCATTTTTTCACTTTAATCTAAGAGGGTCTCGGTGATAATATAAGACAGCCTTTTGATTATACTTGATAACCGCTAATCACAGAACTAGCATATAGAATAGTCATAGGTGGATATGGAGTGGCAGAATCCTATAAATTACAAGAGAAGTTCTGTTTCGCTGGGTATGCCGTACGCACAAGGAGGTTATGGGCTTGCTTACACCAGTCCTCAACAACAACAAAGGACACAATTCTATAGTAGTCGACATGCTCTACTTCCCCCCAGTTCGAACACTAATAATAACGGGGTACTAGCTAATGGAGGTGGTTCAGGTGTTATGGATCGCCAAAGTTACTATTTTTCGCCTGATCCATTATATTGCTCGGATTGGACATATATGAATGGTGGAGAAATGGATTGCATAGCATTGAGCTCGTATAAGGAAGGGTTCAACAATAAAATACTGATTGTCCATGGGGTCAGCTATGGAAAAGAAGCGACGGGTGCTGGCAATGGAGAGATGGATGAAGATGTGACTATGGGGTCTCCTACGTCGAACGCATATCAGGATGACTTGATCGAGGGGTTTGATTTCCACAAGGTGGCAGAAGCGTCAGTTGATTACCCGGTAACGAACTTGCAATGGGACCCGTCGATGCTCAGAATGGCTAATGGGGTATCTGAGCGTTTAGCCGCGTCGCTGGAGGTGTTGAGGTTATATAAAGTGGACCACGAAGCTTTCGATGAGAATAGTGACTACAAATTGACCCAGACGCACATCCTTGCCAATAACACGGCAACTGCGTCGTCTTCGACGTCGTCGTCAGCGCAATCGAACACTGGTGGCACATCCGGAAGCACTAGTGACGACGTGAACACGTTCCCACCCGTTACGTCGTTTGACTGGAACAAGATCGACCCCAGCCTCATTATAACGTCTTCTGTCGATACGACATGTACAGTGTGGGACTTGAACAGGTCGAGTACCACTGCAGATCCCAGCTCGGATCTGGGCTCCCCCAGCGACACGGCTACCGTCAAGACCCAGCTTATCGCTCACGACTCGGAAGTGTTCGACGTCAAGTTCATCCACAACTCGACCAATGTGTTTGCGTCAGTGGGAAACGACGGGTCGATGCGGGTGTTCGACTTGCGGTCGTTAGAGCATTCTACCATTATCTACGAGCCTTCCCACCCATCCACAACCACGTCGACCCCATCGACACCCCATCACAACTCGCGGGCGCTTCTCAAGCTCTCGGCATCCAACATCGACCAGCACTACTTGGCCACCATCGGTGTCAACTCGAACCAGGTCATAATCATCGACATGCGCATGCCCGGACTTCCAGTGGCTGCGCTCGACGGTTCCTTGGGCGGAGCCAACACCACAGCCATCAATTCCATCCAGTGGCACCCCTCTTCCAACTACATTCTTACCGGAGGCGACGACTGCCAGGCCCTTGTATGGGACTGCAACAACATCCGCCATCCCGGTGTCGCCAAATCCCTGTCACCGGCTTTATCACACACTCCCGAGTTCACCTCGCTAATCGATTCACCAGTGCTCGCCTACAACGACGATCTCGAAGTCAATAACGTATGCTGGCGCCGCGACAGCGGCGACTGGATGGGTGTGGTCAGTGGCAAGGGTTTCCAGGCCGTTCTGATATAAACATGCTGAAATGACAACTAAAGTACCCATTTTTGCACCAATTACACCAATTGCACCATTGCACCCAAACACCCCCATCCGCCCCCACCTGCACAATTGCACCATGATCGCCTCACCTCCTTGTGCGACCTGCGCCTTGAAACATCTCCTACACCTTTCAACTACCTTCCGGGCCCCAACCACCGTCCTTTACCCTATGAATGCCCATATTGTGCTACTCAAAGACCCACAAATCTCAATTGATACCAAAAATATCTTCGTTCACAATTAAACTACCGTATATAGAGCCTCATGACGCACAGAACAAAGGCCTAGAAAATTGGGTAAACACACGCAGTTCCATCTGTTGACGAAAAAATGTTTTGTGCAGGAGGCCAAATCATTAATTTACTACCCTTAATAAGTTATAAATAAATTAATATAAAATGGAAAAATTATTATATATTTAACAATAGATCGTGAACGTTTGAGCAATATTCAGCAAATTTGGATAGGCTCTAGTGGAAGCATACGTATTACAGGATTCAGGGTATCTTTCAGAATAGGATTTGGTTAGGATTTGGTTGAGATTTGGGAATAGTAAAACCAGATTAGGCAAGACGATAGATCCAAGATTGAATTGATAAATATTGACACAGGCGTTAAATTTACAGAGAGGGATATAGAGCAGCATGACATACGTTAATTTCATGATGAGAGACGTGCGAGAAATGTTTCGAAGAGCAGACGAGGGTGGGGGTGACGAAGGGGGCAACCAGGACGACGGGGGGTTTAATGCTACATCGAGCTCGAGGTCGAGCGTAGGGCCAACCCTGAGTTCAGGGAGGGATGAATCTACAGGGGGAGTAAGCTTAACGAGCGATTCGGGGACTTCAGGGCCCACGAGTGATGATTTTAGCAGTATGAGTGAGACGAGCGGACCAACAAGTGGCAGTGCAAGTGCCACCAGTTCGAGGGAAAGTTCAAGTTCGACGAGCGATAGTTCTAGCGAGAGTTCTTCCCGTAGTTCGGCTAGTAGTTCATCGAGTTCAAGGGAAAGCTTGTCGAGCTCAATTTCTTCTAGTTCCAGCTCTTCGGGTTCGAGTTCGCATTCTTCAAGCTCTAGCTCTTCCAGTTCCAGATCGAGTTCGTCGTCACTGAGCTCAAGACTTTTGACGTCGAGTTCAAGCTTTTCGTCGAGTGAACCCAGCTCGTCATCGTCTTCATCGCAGGAACCTTCTAGCCTGCTGTCAGAGCTTTCATCATCGTCGTCATCATCATCATCTTCTTCACCCTCAAGCCAGGCATCAAGGACCTCACATTCGGCATCATCCACTCGCTCCAGCTCTTCCAGAAGCTCCTCATCGCATGAACCATCATCATCATCATCATCATCATCATCTTCTTCACCCTCAAGCCAGGCATCAAGGACCTCACATTCGGCATCATCCACTCGCTCCAGCTCTTCCAGAAGCTCCTCATCGCATGAACCATCATCATCATCATCATCATCATCACCATCATCATCTCACAGAACTTCCTCCCACGCAACTTCATCCTCTTCGTCCCAAAGGACTACTTCCCAAACAGGACAGACCTCTTCTCTGTCGTTTTCCTCATACTACACAACCATCGAAGAATCCGACACTACAATCACTTCATTGGTAACAGTGCCTACGTCATCCGTAAGCGAACTGAGCAACACTTCCAGTTCGCCTTCGGAAAAGAACGCAAAATTGATTGGTGGTTTGGTTGGCTCTATTGGAGGTACCATTGTTATTGGTCTCCTCGTTGCATTATTCTTATTTTTGAAGAAGAGAAAGAAGATCACAAACCAGTCACCAGATTTCAATGACAACACTTCTGGTGAATCAGACTCATACAAAGACAAGTCGGGATTCAGAAAGTTGTTTTCAACTAAGAATGCCAACTACGGTGGTGTTGCGGGCTTAACGGATATGGAAAGGCAGAACGACTCTCCTGCTATCCAAGCAAATGACGAGAACAATGACGAAAGTGATGACTTCGAATATCGTGGTGTCTCGAACAACAATAACCTCGACAGTATCTTCAGGTCAACCGCATCCAACTCCTCAGGTCAGAATACGGCAACGGGCGGTAGTGCAAATCAGAGTGCCAACCACACCCGTATGAATTCAATAGGCCATGCATTGGATATACCTTATGAGACCCGTGAATCAGACGAACATGATCCTTTTATGAGCCATAGTCGATTCAACTCAGACGAAACTGATAACTTTAGCCCGTCTGACTATGACCTAGGCCACAACGACTTAGCACCTGCTGACCGGAGAAATATCTTTGGAGAAGAGAGTCATAGTAACAACTCCCGTTCGAGATTCCATGAAGAAATTATTTGATTTTTATTTATCCATAGAATGCTTGCTATTTTACCTGGCTAGCGACTTATTTGGTCTTATTATTTGGTTACATTGGTGCATACTATATGATATTCAATTCTATATTATTTAATACTATTATTCAAACATTATCAACTTTTCTTGTAGTATAAATTTATGTCCTGCACATTATTAAGGGATTTTTCACTAACAAAATTTGACAATTTTTCATCAATAAAAATTGATTGAACTACTAATACTATTGCATTTAATTAAATAAACGACATGTCTGCTAAGAATGTTATGGTTAAATTGATCGTGGGAGCTGGTCAAGCTGCTCCTGCTCCCCCAGTTGGTCCAGCATTAGGTTCTAAGGGTGTGAAGGCCATAGATTTTTGTAAAGAGTTCAATGCAAGAACTGGTAATTACCAACCAGGTATTCCAATTCCATGTTTGTTGACCATTAAACCAGATAGATCCTTCACATTTGAGATGAAATCGCCACCTACTTCATGGTTGATATTAAAAGCAGCACAAGCCAAGAAAGGTTCTGACAAGCCAACGCATAATATAGTCGGTGAAATCTCGTTGAAACATGTATACGAAATCGCTAAGATCAAGAAAACAGACGAAAGACATAAAGAAGTAGATTTACAAGCGATCTGTGGTGCTGTGATTCTGACTGCAGAAGCAGTTGGTGTTAACGTTGTTCCTTAGATATATTTAAAGGCTACTTGTAAATTAGATAATATTTTTCATGTATATATTATTAATAAGAGTTATTTCACAGTTCTAAGACGTTGTTCTTGTATTTTGGGTTGATTTTCTATCAAGTGTAGTCTTATAAGCACAACTTTCATAAACCGCATAAACGATATTTACTATATTAAAGATGCTAGAATAAAAGTAAAACAATGGAACTATTTTTTAGTACTTATTGTTTTTTCTTAGTCTTATCAAATGCAGCTATATGAGCTTTTGATTGATCGACTTGAGTGTGGTCATGATTATCACAAGGCACAACTTCAAAGTTTGTCGTCCCATCTTGAGTTAATTTCTGGTCCACGTAGCACATGTCAATAGACGCTAACCAGTCATCATTAAAACACTCTTCAATTGAAATACGACATGCTGGAGGTAATTCTACCATTTTCCCTATTAATGGACGACAATCCTCTGGCAAAGCAAGTAATAACCTTCCCGCACCTGATTCGCTCGATGTGTGTGACTTACCCTGGGAGTCGAGTGATTGTGAGTTACTTGATGCCGATTTAGAAATCGAAATAGGGTTCATTTCGCTGATGTCTAATTCGTCATCTTTATCATTGAAATCAATATTACTTTGTTCGGGAACCTTTTTAAGCATCTCAGATAATGGAATCATCTCACCTCGGCTTGCAAACAATTTAAAACTGTTATCAGATAATTTTGGAACTTTCCATGGGAATTTCTTCAACATCATGCAACAGTATATTATAGCTGCAGACCAAACATCGACTGGCCTAGGATCGTACTTATTGAAAACACACACTTCAGGTGCCAAATAAGGATCTGAACCTACAATACCTTGGGCTTCAATCAAAGTTTTTGTGAATGGATAAGAAAAGACAACTGCAGATCCAAAATCAATAATCTTCACAATACCCCTATTATCAATAACACAATTATCAAGTTTTAAATCTCTATGAGATAATCCCATTGAATGTAAGTAGTTGATTCCCGATAAAATTTGTTTAAAGCAACAGTTGATTTCTTCTCGAGACATCTTGTTTGACATCACAATGGCAAACAAATCAAAATCACAGTATTCCATAACTTGTAAGATTCGTTCATTCTCGTAACAAATTTCAATGGTTTCAATAATGTTCGGATGCTTCAAAGTAGATCCAATGCAATATTCTCCAGTAATCTTCTTCGCATAATCCCTTTTAGTTTCGTTTTGATACTTTGCTCTAAACTCCTTAACTGCAAAAACTTGCTTATCAGATAATCTGTTTACCAACTTCACAGCACCACCAGCGCCAGCACCTAAATTATCACCTAGTTTGCCGTATCTCTTTGAAAATGGTAATTGCTGTTGAGGATTAATCAAAACCAGGACAGAGCCTCTTCTTTCTCTTTGGTAATTCATTTTATTCTGCAAAACTGACGAGGAACGGCTAACGGAAGACGAACCAATGGTTAGCATAGTATTAGGAGACTGGGAATACGATGCGTTAGATGAAGATTCAGTTAGTGATTGTCCGTATGAACCAGCTTGGAACGAACTACTCGTTGGAGTATTTGAATCGTTACTAACAGGAATGCTATTACGCTCACTTCCATTAGATCTCAAGGACGATGATAAACTCGATGTTGGTGCAGGATAAGCTGGAGTTGACTTCTTAAAGAATCTCTTCAAATTAGCCATCGAATTATGTCTTGAAGGCACAGGAAATGCATTTGAATTGATTGATTCATTTGACGAAACAGACGACGGAGAACTCAATGCAACAGAATTGTTATAGTCCTGATAGGCATTATTATAGAATGAACCTAAATCTGTTGATGACGATTGCTTCTTATTTGAGCCTTTATTCTTCGAAGAAAAGAAATACGACAATCCAGATTGAGAACCCGATTTATTCGAAGTACTTAATGAAGCCTGAGCCTGGGCAACTCTCTGTTTGGAAATAACAAAACGTGGCTCAATCGACGAAGAATTAACCTGAGGAGATTGAATATGAATCGATGAAATCGGTTGTCCATTGGGTAAATTAGGAATGTGAGAATTATCATGAGTGATAGTAGCGTCGTTGGAAAAGCTTGAGGATGAATTTGCAAGCGAATTACTTCCCATACCGTTAATGTTTGTTAATGAACCAGAAAAATGCCCTCTTCCTCCAGGTGCACTGTATGGGATTGACGATGACATACTTTCACCTCCATATCCACCTGAAGTCAAAAAAGACGAGTGAGATACAGATCCCGTTCTATTTGTTCTGGGGCTAGCCACGGTAGGTGGTTTTATTGGAATGTCTCTGTACTGGAAAGCATTATTGCCGCTGTTTCTGCCCTGCTGAGTCCTTGGTGACTCAACAGTCAAAAACGAATCTTCCGGAACAATATCTATCGACGGATCAAACCCGTTGATAACCTGCGGTTGTGAAATATCCAATGAGTTGCTGTCATACTTATCATCCATCGTAAATCCACCCACACCACCGGTAATAGCATCCACATCGTTTGAACCCAAATCTGGACCCTGTCCATCACCTCTTGACACTTCGTGGTTCTGATGCCCCGATGTGATCGTTTCACTGGTAGAATCCAATGACGTCTGTGAATGGTTCTTCGAAAGTATCGGAGTGCTATTGTTCGAGTTTGACTCATTCAACAACCTAGTTAACGAACTAATCGGCAACTTACCGTTAGAAACCTTTCGGTTAGGAATCTCTAAGTCCATTTCCTTATATATTTTATCAGCGACGTTTTTTTGGTGGTTTTAATTAATATAATTTAAAGTTCAACAATAGCCTCTAATGGAACGTGGTTCTGCCTATTTCTAAATTTTTTTTCAAAATAATACCGACAATGTCTTTTGAACTTCAGTCCCTAGATATATTCTACTTCAGGAGGCTAATTTATGGTATAATTAGTATGTCTAAACACTTAGTATTTTAGAAATCCTCAAATTCCGTTTGACAGTTTCTATCGTCGATTTGTTTTCTTGATAAGCGCGTGATCTTCATTGATACGATAATGAACAATCTAATTTTATTTGTCAATGATAAACATTTTTTTCGAAGAGTAGGTAGTACGAATAAATGTATAGAGTAGGTAGAATTTAGTGTATATATATCTATATAAGTAATTGAGGTGAATAAATTCTTTAAGGACAGATTAATCTTTCTTTTTAGATTTGGACTTTTTGGCCTTAGATTTTGATTTAGGGGTAGATTTCGGTGTCGATAAATTTTCGGCCCGAGGATTTGATGGGAATAGAGGCAATTTATCGTCCGCACCAGATGGTATCCCAATCAGCTTCTTGAGGGATGCAAGCTTTGCTTGTAACTCTTCTGGGGTTTCTGGTTTAGTATGGATGTCAGCTCTTTTCCTGGCTTCTTCGTTTTGGGCTCTTAATTTTTCAGCCAAAGGAATTTTGGACTCTTGAATTTTTTCCTGCTTTTTTCTCTCAACAGCCGAGTTCTTCTCCAAGGCTTCGAGGAGCTTTTCTGTCTCGTCGTACAAGGCCTTTTGGAGTTCTTCGTCGCTGAGCTCTTTACGCGCAGGCTTTAAAATTTTGCATTCCTGGATAACATTTCCACCATCGAGGTTTTTGAACACTGGAGCGGCCAATGCATACAAGAACGACTGGGCACCCTGAGAGGTGCTTTTGAAAAAGATCCAGAATATTGGGAATAAGACGAAGTAGACCAAGAGTCCCCAGATCGTTCCCATCGATAAAAACCTCCTTGTGGATGGAGTTCTCATGATTCCGGGGTTCGCCATGTTGACTCTGACGTTACATGGGGCCTTGTCCTTTCTCTCGAAGCTATTCAATCTTCTTTGAAATTCTTTGGCAAACATCGTCAACATTAATTTGGATGTACCATATAACTTCCATGGCTCTCTTGTAGGATACCGCCTATTTAACCACAAGGCGTCGCTCATATCAAGGTCTCCTAAGGCTTGAGAAACACATGTGGCCATGACAACTCGAACATCTCTGTCAGGAAGCTGGATTTTCAATGCAGGAGAAAGCAATGTCAATAAATGGAAATGTGCTAGGTAATTGATTCCTATCTGCTTCTCGACACCGTCTACTGTAACCTGCCTTGCCTTTCCAATTGGAATAGATTCGGCGGCGCAGCAAATCACACCATCTAACCGTCTTGGAGGTTGATTGTCCAACCATTTGGTGGCAAATTTTCTTATAGAATACAACGAATTCAAATCACATTCTTCGGCATAAATCATAAAGTTATCCGTCTTCTCTCTCAAATCTTCAACATAGTCCACCAACCAACTATCCTCTGTAGATCTCACCAAGATAATAAGTTGCGCTCCCTTACTTGCAAGCTCATACGCAAGATATGCACCCAAACCTGAAGTAGCTCCTGTCATAATGTATACTTTTCCATGATAATCTCTTTCCCAAGTATTTGAAGTTCCTCCAAAGTAGTACTTAATACCGGCAATGGCCATGATTGCTGGACTATAAGTCTTGATATATTCCCATCCTGGGATTGCTTCTGGTCCTTCGTATATAGCAGTACCTAGTATATCTATTGGCATTATGTATATTAGAATAGCTTATGTAACTGTATATGATTATACATTAGTCCATTCTCTATCGCTGTCCTATCGAACTTCGAACTATGTACACGCGTGCACATAATTTTCTAGTGCTCATCGGACATATATATTTTTTTTCAGACCTGGTTTATTCAAGTATACATTGCAAGATACATACAAGAGCATACAATGGACGAGTCTGTTTTCTACATATCAGAGGGTGATCCAGCTGATAAACATTCGCAAGAATCGTTTGGTCATTCGAGTTCTGTGCATTCGTCTCAACAACATGCTGGATTCAGACAGGCTGACTGTCCTCAAAACGGGGCCTGCTTGAGTGGTGTGGGCATAGGAGAAAGATTATTTGTTGCAAGTCCTAATAAAGCTTTGATCAATGTTTACTCATGGGGAAAAGAAAGTCCCGACCAAAGAATTCCAATTCCAGAACAATTAAGTTGTTTGACGTTATGCAAACACCCTCACATTGAAGTAGAGGAAGAAAAATCCAATGAGCGTAACTTGCCAAGCTTCCGTACTCCATGGTTATTAGCAGGAGGTTCTAAGACAGGTAAAATATTTGTATGGGAGTTGTCATCGGGAAATTTGTTGTCTGTCAAAGAAGCTCATTACCAAGCGATCACCGCTATTAAATTCTCTCAATGTGGTACATTTTTGGTATCAGGAAGTTCGGATGCTAGATGTATGGTTTGGAGAACGAGTGAATTAATATCAGTGTATAACAAGGATGAAGAATCAAGTATAAATATCAAACCATTTGCATCGTTTACAGACCATTCATTGCCGATCACAGATTTGACGATGTCTGAAGCAGGAATCATTAGTGATTTAAGACTATACACTGTCTCTCGTGATAGTACTTTACGAATTTATGATATTATGACAAAGTCCCTTTTGACAACTTTTGTGTTGCCTTCAGGTATCGAATGTATTACTAAAGATCCTGCTAACAGAGCCTGTTATGTTGGATTATCGAACGGTCTCATCAGAACGGTCCCATTATACCAAATTAACCCAAACACTTCTGTATTAGAAAGTATAGGAGGAAGGGGTAAGATTGTTACTTTAGATACGGATCCAAATTTATTAACCACTTTTGTCCATCACCAGCAACGTTTAAGTACTGAGCCATTGCATAAGACATTAAATAAGAAAACAGTCACTGAAGAAAAACCAATTCTAGTAACGAGGTTATCCATCACAATGGATGGAACTAATTTAATATCTGGTGATTCTGTTGGCAGGGTTTATGTTTCAGATATTGTTTCTAGACAAGTAGTTAAGACGTTTGCACCTTGCAAGTCTTCTATCTCATATATCCAAGTTAATGCTTGTGCTATCGAAAAGGCTACCGCTTCAAATTCTGCATCTAATAATAACGATAAAAGGCACAGATTAATCCCTCAATTCAAAAGGGTTCTTGCGAATCCTGATCCATTAGAGCATCAGCTATACATGGAAATTCCTAAACAAGCGGAATCTGATGAGGATTTCGAAAGCTGGTTAGCACGTAAATCACAAGAAGAATTAGAATTCAAGAATTTGACAAATATAAATTCCTCAGTTACTGTGACGGGTGGTTCAAATACAAATGATTTAAAAGTTAAGGAGCTAGAAGAAAAGCTTGCAAAAGTATCAAAGGCCTACACAGATTTGAGAGGAAAACACGAAGAATTGTATGAAGAACATAAGAAATTACTCAGTGATTAATCATTAATAATGCAATAAAAATATATAATTAATAAATTGTCCCATCACCTACTAGGCGACAAGGGCCTATTAAAACCTTTACTTCTATTCATGTACGTTCTATATTCAGATTTGGTCTCTTTTTTGGTATTTCCTCCTTTTGTCCCTTTAACATGTTTACCCTTAGTAGTTCCAAATCCTCCGAATCCCATCAAACTTATCATATCATCATCTGGAGCCTCTGGGCTTTCCATATTTATGTCATTTTCATCTTTTCTCTCTCTTTGGCGTCCTCGGTTATCTTGCTCTTGCTTATGTTCGGGAAGTTTAATTTTGTTATTGAATGATGAATTCAGCAATGGTAAATCTTGTAGCGACGTGTTATCCTTTTTGTACAAATCTGATTTTTGCATTTTGTCACTCGATCTCTCTTGTGATCTTTCCCTATAATGCTGATCCTTCTGATCACTGCCTTGAGAGTTCAGTAGGAGTGATTCGCTGGATTTATGAGGCAGTCTTGATCTGGATCTTGATGCATCGGTTTTTGGAGATTGCCTTAAATTTATTTTTATCTTGTTATTATTTATTAAAACCATGTTAAAACTATAACTGATAGAATTGTTAATAGGATCAATGATTCTATACCATAGGTTTCGATAACACTAATGCCAATGGAGATGAGATATTGCACGTGCGCAGATTTTTCATTCTAATATATCCCTTTGTAGCTGGTTTATGAATATGAATACCAATATTACAATATCAAAGAGAGTTTATAGTCTTGCTTTTGACTTAGGAAAGAAAGAAGTACAAATTCATTTTAATTCTGCCAAAAATTAATATAATAGGTTCGAGGTGTGCTCTAATATTATACGCTACATTATTGGGTGCAAAATCTAAGTCAAAGTGATTACACTTCTCTTAATTAATTCTATACGTGAGATCTACATAAACAAGGCTCTAGCAAATATTATGTAACCATTTGTTTTTCCATCAGTATCTTGGTATTTAACTGGTCTTTAGTCGTGGCTACTTAGGCATTCGAAGCGTCGGCCTATAGGCATTCTATTAAGGCTAGTTTCTTAGTAATTTTAACAATTTACTCTTTGATCCAACTTTATTTGCTACAGATTAATAATAATAGAAAATTATTTAAGAATAAAGTAAAATAGAATCAGTTACCAGCTTTCCTAAATTTTTCAACCACAAAAAAGTATAGAATTGGACATTATGTTTGGTTCATTAAAATCGGAATTAAAACTGAACAAGAAGAGTATTTCTTGAGAGCGAAACACCTCCTTATGTAATTATTGTTCAAATCAACTCTGCCGGCTTTTAGTATAATACGTAAGATGAAGAACTATATGCACATTAAATCCGATGACTTGAGTAAAACCTAGGTACATTAGTCAGACATGAAGAATTTAGTCATATTAGTATTTGTCAGATTTGAGGACTTACGCAAGCCTGAGAAACTTAGTCAATTTTGCAGACTTAGAAATTGTCAGACTGGCTGAATGTGCAAAAATTGCTACACTAATCTCTCTACACGAATCTTGCTACAATGAGCAATATGACTGGGTCCCGGGGATTCGACGTATTTAAAGGATGCCACATCAACTTACCTATGGAGACTCCGTAAATTACAGTGTAGATTAATAAAGATGCAAAAAACCACAGTAATTGTCTCTTTTCCACATACGAACGAAATAACACCTAACTGGAGGTATGAGAGAATCAATGTGAGAGAAGACTTGCATGACAACATTCTTGTTGAAATGTCATCAGTTGGACTATGTATACGGATATTTTTAAGGCAATTCACGGGAGGATGGCCAGACTCGCTTCCGAGGACATGAAGGTTTATGCGTGGTAAAGAAGATTGGACTTGCTGTCATAAATTGTAAGCTGGGGAATGTCTTCCAGGAGTAGTAGCAACTTAACTTCGTCTTTTAATTTTTTTTATCTTTGCATTTTTGCGGGCACGGTGATTCCGCTGATAAAGTCTATTTTTCCGTTTCTTCTGATCCATATGTCCTAAAGCTTGGGAGTGTTCCAGTATATGGAAAGCTGACTGGAGAAGAATGTATCTTAAGTCCGATTATAAGCGAGATTATAAAAATATGCACGTGATGTAGATGCTAGGAATTTTTCACTAGATATAAAATTTACTCTTCTGTAGATGTTGCACGGTATCTAAATATAATTTTTCTGTACTTCAAAGATGTCAGATACAACCAAATTAACCAAAAAGCAGAAGAAGGCTTTAGAGTTCCGTCAGAAGAAGTCAAAAGATTCGACAGAGGAAGATACTTCGCCAGCTACAGAAAAAGAGAATAAGAAAAGACCAGCAGACTCCGATGAGACAGCAGAATCCGGTGAAGAGCCTAAGAAAAAGAGAAAGACAAGAAGAGGTAAGAAAGGTAAAGGTGTAAATGGGGGAAAAGGACCTCGTTTTATTTTGTTTGTGGGTAACTTACCATATAACGTTACACAACCAGAACTTGTGTCTCACTTCAAAAATTCGAATCCTGACAGGATAAGAATAAGACCTGATAAAGGGATTGCATTTTTAGAATTTGATAACGACAGCAGAGAAATTCAAAGTAAAATGGAACTAGCATTAAGAATGCATCATTCTACTCTTAGAAATAGAAAGATTAACGTGGAATTAACAGTTGGTGGAGGTGGTAATTCTGACAATAGAGTAAATAAATTAAAAGAGAAGAACGAGAAATTAGAAGATGAAAGAAGGTCGAGAGTTACCAAGGATGGCAAGAAGGGTGAAGTTCCAGCAGGTGTTCATCCATCCAGAGCAGCTTTATTAAGCTGAGCTTGTATAATAGTGTACTACATACGTCACATGCTTTTAGTGATATGGGATGCTTTATAAGATAATACAAAATAATTAGTAAATAAATAGAAGCAATCCATTAGAAGTACAACCGTCGAATACGATGTAATCTATAAATATATAAACCTCTAACAGATTCAAAAAGGTTATTAAAAAAATAATTTGAACATATGATAAAAACAACCAACCGGAAATAAAACCCAAAACTTAAGTCAAATATAGAAAAAAAGAGCGACCAAACCATAGAATAGTCACATATTGTCAATTAGTATTACAGCATAGAAGCAAAGAACAGTTTAACCACCGAAAAACGACACACTCATAAAATTGTACACTTTTTAGCCTTTCTAACTCTACGTTGTTGTGAATTAGCCATACCGGCAGCTTGGTTATTTGAAACATTAGTACGACTATTGGTTCCTTCATTTGCGGGTGAAATGACACTTTTAATTGCAAAGTCAAACACTTCTTTGACTCCAATTTGTGTAGCAGCTGAACATTCCATATAACCAACTAGCCCTAATTCTTTAGCCAACCTTTCCCCTTGGGCAAAAGTGGTAGGCTTTTGATTTCTATCGTCCAACTTATCCAACACCAGTAAGTCATCACGTAAGTCTGCTTTTGTACCTACCAATAACACTAATATGTCCTTTGGCGAGTGATGAAATATTTCGGGTATCCATTTTGCTTTAACATTTTCAAGTGAGTCAGGACTCACAATGGAAAAACAACATAGAAAGATCTCTGTTTGTGGATAACTCAAAGGTCTCAATCTATCGTACTCGGCCTGACCTGCAGTATCCCATAATCCCAATTTAATTGGCTCACCGTCAAACATCGCAGTTGCAGAATAGTTATCAAACACGGTAGGAATATAGTCGTTTGGAAATGAATTCGTTGTGTATGAGATTAATAGACATGTTTTACCTACGCCCCCATCACCGACGACAACTGACTTAATACTTCTCATTTTTATGTGGTACTTTTCTCTTTATCTAGGAATTGTTTATATATGCTCTATTTGCAAAACTTCGTACTCCTATGCGCTAGTTTTCAACTTTCAGAAACCCGAAATAGTTCTAATTTATTCAAACTTCGATACCTCGTGAATTATATACCTATATAACTGTACCCTGTACTTCTATATGTCTATCTCAACCTATTTCAGGTCTAAAAGTCTTCATCATGAAAAGTTTACGACATTATTCCTACTCCTGGACTATGTCGGCCAGACGACATTATCAACAAGCCTTTTCACGTGAAAATTTACCTGATGATTGTCTATAATTAGAAGAGTCTATTGTCATTTTCTGGCTTATGTATATGGCCCACAAACTACAACAGCAGCTGGTGATTATTTATGACAGTGGATAGAAAAATATTGTTTTGGAGAAATCAGGATAATTAATATTTCAGGATATAATATTTGTTTTACCATAGTAACCACTGTGAGTCTTGTAGATTTATCTGGACTTGAAAACCCCTCTTCGAAAACGCTAGAACCAGAAACAGATTAGAGATACAATACGGATAAAATAGAGACCGATGTAGTGCATATATGCCTGGGAACGAGCGAGCATAAGGGCATCGTATCAATATGACAAGCACCAGATAAAGCTTGCCGCTGCGATATATTTCTAATCGTTGTTATCTAGAGAGAAGCCCAATCGGACGAAAGTAGCTACGCCTGTGCCAGCTAGCTATCACTACGGCACGGCTGTTTGGCTACTCGAAAGTGTTTGGGACATATATCACGTGATCATATTGAGTTTTCCATTCTGTGCTGGTGGTGGGATTGAGAGGCAATAAATATGTTCATGAACGTAGAGGAGGACGGATCATTCAATCAGAGTTGTATTAGATAGAAATGGCTTACAAAGATATTGTTCCAGTTGGTTCTGCTTTAATTATTGGTGCTACATCGTTTGGATTGGGTGTGTTCTACGCCAATTTGCCATATGATTTGAACACATTATGGAGACACGATGAGACCGGAAATGCTTTCATAACGTCATTGGCACATTACAGTATTTGGGGTAATTCTCCAGCATACGTTCATCACATTTTCCATTTTGTTATGGCGTTAGGATTTATTGGTGCGTTTATTAAGTTGTACAAGCCAAGTGAAGATGCTAAATACTTTGAGTACGGTTCATTGTTCTTGTACATGGTGGGAGTAATTATTTACTTAACCAACTTAAGAATCGGTGTTAACAGTTGTTTGGCTGGTGAATGGGGTGAAGTTGACATGCCTACCGGGATCAATGTTATGGCCGCATCGCAAGTCATGATTGGATTTGCATTGTTTGGTGTCTTATTGTTGCAAGGTGGTTTATACTACGCTGAATGGTACGACAATAAGTTGAAGCAAAAGTTTTTTGAAGAGGAAGAAAGAGCAGCTCTTGTTGCTGCTTCTGCAAAGACCGATACTCTTGAGGAGACCGAGGAAATCAAAAGTAAGGGTTCCTCTGCTTCCGGTGCTTCTGCCTCCTCTACCAAGGCCAAGTCCAAGAAGAAGTCAAAATAATCTAGTTAGAGATAAATAGGCTTATAAGAAATTGACGTTTGTTCCAATGAACCCATAGGACAATGTAGTAACCCATATGACCTTGTAGCCATAAGAAATCGAACTAAGTACTTGATATTGAAATTATGTGCAGTACATTTTTCTAACCAATTAAACTCACTAAAGTTTGAATTATTTCACCAAAACTTACCTACAGCAGATTAGTCTTCACATCGGTCACTTTATATTAATTAATACACAAATCAAAGAAGAATGACTACTGATAAAGTTTGGGGTGACTATCCTGTTTATTACAAGCAACCAGTTAGAGTATGTATATGCAAAAATCAGAGTGGGCGTGGATGAATAAGAATTTTGACCACTGGAATCAATATGATACAGGCCATGGAATAATAAGGAAGCAGTTGTCTCATACTGCTACCTACGTGGCTCAGCATGTTTCGCTTGTATTTTATGGGTTTTAAAGCTTTTCTTGTGACTATTCGACTAGACAATTACTAACAGCATCTAGTGGTTCAAATATCATGCACACACCAAACCTCATTTTGTTTGGGCTATTGGATTAGGTTTAGCAGCTCCATTATTATTGGCTATATCCCCTATCAGAAGAAAGTACTTGTACGCTGACCATGATCCAATTCCAAAGGTATACCCTTTACCAACCAGAGCTAGGGACACCAACTTAACTGGTTTTGACGACGAGTAAGTATACAAACACGATAAATTATTGCCCATTTTAGGGGACTACAATAGAGCATTGGGCCATTACATTATTCCATTACATTACTATATTATTTAAGGTATTAATTGTTCATAAGAAAATGGTTAATATTTCATCGGAATGGCTCAAAAATTTCATTCCAATTTCTTACTTTACAAGACTCCGACTACCATCTAACTAGTCATATCATAATATACGTTTATATTCTCTACATTGCCCCGTAGCTTACCTTGTATCCATTAACTACTAGACAGAGCTTACATAAGACCTATAATAAGTAGTGTGAATACCAAGAACAAATTTTGTCGCTTCGATTTAAATTTTCACCAATGGTAACTAGACCATAGGAGAAGCCTAGAACCAGGGTTAATTAAAGATATGATCAACAGATTAGGTCTATTGCGCAGGGCCGTTAGTGTTCAACCGGCTAAGATTCAATATGGCTTGTTAACATCCGCAAAACACTTCCATACCACCAAATATTTGCAAAATGGTAATGTTTTTGGGGAATTAACCAAAGGTAAAGAGTCAGATGAAGCTCAAATTGAGAAGCAAAACGACATAGATGTAAGCCAGATCACGCCAGCAACTGATAGTACATTACAAGAATACTACCTTGAAGAAGCCAAGAAATCGCAATTCACAAGTAGCAAATACATAACACCATTAAAGAAAAAATTATTTCACTTGAACGTGCAACAGAATGGATTCTTCAAGAATAACGAAATTTTCAAGGACCCAGAAACCGGAAAGGTCTACAAATTAGCATTAACCGAAGAAGAAATCGACATTTTGGAACCATCGATTTTCTTGCAAAGTTACAGAATTAAGTCGTCGATGAAGAAGGCCACCCAGGTCAATAGATTTGTCAGAGGCTACAAGGTGAAGAACGCCATCAACCAATTACATTTCAACCCAAAGAAGATGTCCACCGAGTTGGAAAAATTAATGAAAAAGGGATTGGAACAGGCCCGTGAATTGAACTATAACGAAGACGAATTATATATCCAGGCGTTGTGGGTCGGCTCCGATGGTAGTTGGCGTAAACGTTTGGATGCTAAGGGAAGAGGAAGAACCGGTATTATCGAACATCCTCATATCCACCTCAAGGCAATCTTAAGAACTGACCAAACAGCCAATAGATTGAAATGGGAAAAACACCAAAAGCAATTGAATCAAAAACCAAGAATGTTCTTAAATAACGAACCCTTAAATTTCAGAGTTCACCCATTTTATAGATGGTAATCTTGTACATATATATATAATACTATAATTTATCACCATCGTTATTTACTGAACCTACAAGCACTACTAACCGCCGCTCACAAATGTATGATCCTGTATTCGCTCCGTGCCTGTGCCTGCGATAACGTAATGTTATCAGGTATTTCCGTCATGACCGAGTTAACCCTAGGACTCCTCCACAATACGTCCGCTATCCTATGTCCCTATTATTTCCGTAAGACGGTTACGTTATTCTGGCTCAATTTTCTTGTATATAGTATGGATCCTCTAAATAATGTCTAGACTGCTTTATTCTTATCACCTGTTATAGTCGCATATTATATAGTGTATATGATAATACTGAGTCATTACATTAATTATAATTGTTTCTTCTTTACAATTAGTAGTGGTACACTCTATATATTGTGTTCAGCAGAAGTAATATCAGAATATACATATATAGCTTTACTTGAAGAAGGGTAACAATTGTATAAGGGCTAGTTTGAAATATTTAAAATAATTTAGCAATCACACCAATAAATTATAACCCTCATCCCTTCAAAGAGTATACTAAAGATAACTAAATTAATAAAAGAACTAACAGCGAGAAGTCAGAATTAGGATCAATATGGGATTGAAGTATACTAATTTCTTTGAGAATTCTAGTTACGAAAGTTCCGACACCCAAATTGTTATCTGTAAGAACTGCTCATCCCATCTATGCTTATCACACTTGATCCTTTCGGACAACTTTCGGGGTTCCACAGGGCCGGCATATTTGGTGGATAAGTTGATTAATTATCAGCTGGAGAATGGATCGCAGGAAACCAGGATGTTGACAGGGACATACCTTATAAATAAGGTTAAGTGCCACCAATGTTCGAACCAGTTAGGGTGGACTTACAAAAAGGCGTTTTCATACTCAGAAACTTATAAGGAAGGGAAATTCGTCATCGAAAAAGATTATATCAAGTTAATCCCTAACAACTCATCCACTGCTTCACTTATGGAGAAGGCCAAATTGAATAATAGCCGTCGCCGTTCTTCCGGGTCTTCATCATCGTCTGTGGATTACAATACAACCTCAGACGATTTGTTTAAATTTAATTCTGCTGATCCCGCCAAAACAAAGATGGAAGAATCAATTGGAGGCAATTCTATTAATTTTAGAGATGATGATGGTGTATCAATTTTAGGCAGATTGAGGTTCCAAGGAATCGATAAAGAAGACTTTGATGAAGACCAAGATGTTTTTGTTGATGTTTAACTGATATTTGCTTATTTTCCCTAACAAATATTGCTTCTTTTATATCCTTTTTTTTTTAGTTTGGCTACGACAAATTTTTTTATTTATGTCGGTGGCATTATGGTTAATGCGTTATTATCAGGTAGCGATTGCCTGGTTGGTATGGTATTCAGGTTTGGTTGGTGGCTGGTGGAATCGTATGTAGATTTCTTAAACTGCGTTGTTCCTTATGGTTCTTTATATATAGTTTTTCTCTAAATTGTTTCCAATAAATAAATTCATAACATCATGTAGATTACAGACGGTGATTTAATGCAATATGCGATATGCAATATATTAATATACACAGAAAAATCTAGAGTGTCTAACGTTTTACTTTTTTAGCATTTACCAAGGTATCATTACCATCGTTAGATCTTTTCATTGATTTGGGCGTCAACTTGGTATAAACTAAAACATAAGCAGATGGATCACTTAGAGCTTCTTTTTCATTAATCTTGTTGATATATTCGTCATCATAAGTTGACCAGGTACCATCAGGTTGTAAGCAGTGTGCAATATAATGGCCCGACAGTATGGATCTACCTTCGTGAACGATAACAGAGATTAATTGATATTTGGTTGGTGTCTTTAATGTGGTGAATTTAGTCAAGTCTAGGTAATTTGGATAAGAAATTGATTGCTTTACCTTAGATGATGAGTTACCATTAAATTTGAATCTTTTCAAATGAACTGTAAGAGTTTCAGGAGATCTGTCAATTGTACTTATCTTGTATGCATTCGATTTTTGCTTACAGTTTTCACAGTCATATCCTGAACTCTTATCCTTTCTATCAAGTTTAATTAGTTCACTTGAGAAAAATTCTTGGATTGACTTTTCAATAGTATATCTTTGAGGACCAGCACTTTCTGCGACATCCTTATTCTTCTTTCTGCTTAATCCTAAGGACAAGTCATAGAACTCTTGTTTAGTATCCGATACATAATTGCAATTCTTGCAAGTCACAGATTGATGTAATAATCCTCCAAATATATCATAGATTATCGATTGGTTTAATTTTACTCCTTTAGGAGTGGAATCTTCTTGTAATCTTGACATTAAGGACATGAAATATTCATGCGAGTCTTCTTGTTGCCATTCACTCATCATACAATTAATATCATCCAATCTTTGAATAATTTTCTTAGGGTTGATATATTTTGGGTGTTTGACTTTCGATGCATTGTCATCCAATGCCCACATTCTTTTGGAAAGTTCAGCCAAAACATGGGAAACAGATCTTGGCTTTAAGGTTTTGTTATACTTACCCGAATTAATATCCGTTAAGTAATGTTGCACAGCGGGAATATGAATTAATGATTGAATTGCAGAATTCATATAGCAAGTAACTCCGTGGTTTAACAATCCAACGGGCTTACGCTTGGATAATTCCCTCCAGTTTTTATGGATTCTAGTAGAATTATTAGAACCTCTATCATTAGAAACTTCATTTATCTGATAAAATTTGCTTAGTGGCAATACATCGAGGTCTTTATTGTCGACAACAGTTGCAGCAACCTTTTCCGGCTCATCTTCAGGTGAAGTCGGTGGAGTGGTATTCTTATCCAGGTTGTCGTCCTCCTTTTCTTCATCTTCATCATCAGTTCCTGATAATGAAGGATCTTTGCTTGTGGCTTCTTTAGGGTCACGTTGTAAATCCTGTTTAAGATCATGCTTGAGGGCATCTAAATCTTCATCATCGTCTGAACTTTCCTCTGCATCACTGGCACTTCCACTGTCGCTTTCAGAAAGGCTCTCATTATCGCCTAGAGAATAGTCTTTATTATCATCTTCATCATCATCATCATCATCATTTTCTTCATCTCCATCTACAGGGCTCTCACTTGTAGATTCACTATCACTTTTCAGCTCGCTCTCACTTTTGACTTCACTGTCGCTCCTCAGTTCACTGCTACTCTTGAGCTCGCTTTCGCTCTTAAACTCAGTAAATGGCAACTCAACATTACTGTCCGACTGAAATTCGGATGCAGATTCGTACTGCGAATCTGAAATAGAGTCTGAATCTGATTCCGCCATCTTGGGGTCACCACCGACAACTTCACCTACATCCTCTTCTTCAGAGTCAATCAATGGCTGTGCTACTTTTCTTCTTTTTGCAGCTTTTTTCTCTGCTTTACTCAAAAATTTCTTCCCGGTGTATACTGCCACAGCTTCCGCCATCGATCTTGGTTTCCTCATTTCTGGGCCCTTTGACTCTTTTTCCTGCTCCAGAACTTTATGGCTTTCAATATTATCACTCCTCTTGCTGGATTTCGACAAGACTATGTAACTGGCCGGCTTTTCAGAATTATTCAGCTCGATTTGCTTCCCCAGTATGAATGTTAGCGGATTGGTCAAAATTCGGTCTATAAGCGGCGTAACACTGTTGGAAAGTACGTTGGCTTGTCCTGACATGTAATAGGTTTCACTTTACTCAATATTATATCAAATATACTACCTATAGTACTATTATTTGACTTTTTTGGCCTGACGTCTATATATCTTGACACAAAATTGAAAAAAATTTAACAACTATCACCAAAAAGAAATTAACAACAGAATGCTAATTAAATCACGGTTAATAAATGCTAATTTATAATGATTCTATTGTATATTAGTCAAATGTAGTTGACCTTGATGTTCCTCAAAGTCCCTCTTCGATATATTTATGTAAACACTTATTTTGAAGATAAATATTCTGTTTATCTCATCGCTTTTCGTCCGCATAACCTCTCACAGAAAATTTTTGATTTCAGGTTTGGAATCGCGTCCAAAAATAGTCGTGCATTTCTACACCTATTGTATGGAGAATGTACAATTGTATATAGTGTGCTATAAATAATGATACAGAAGCATCTCTTAAATGATGGAAATATGACTCAGGTCAGAATAATGTTATTGAACATTGAGGTAAAGTTCTTATTAAGTGGCAATTATAGCAGTAGTAGGGCGATTCTCTTACTTGCCTAGGAAGATCAGTTCTTTGGTCTTTAGGGCTATTAAGTCTTGTAATTCAGTAAGACCTATGTCTTTGCTGTGACTAGATATGTTTGCAATGGTTTTATTTACGTTATTCAGGAGCTTTACATGTTCTTGCTGTAAAGGACCCAGTTTACGAGACTTCGGTAGATTCGTTTTTGATCTGTAGTTCGTGTACATGGGCCTTTTGTCATAGTTGTCGTTATCATCATCTTCGTCTTCGTCGTCATCGTCGTCATCATCATCTTCGTCACCTCTCTTATCTGTGTATACATTGACAGAGCTTTCCATCGACATCACATCATCGTTTCCGGTATCAGAAATGTCTAGAGCTGTACTGCCCTTGTCCCTGTCGTCTAGATCGCTTTCGTCTTCCATGTCATCGTTGCTTGAAGATTCACCATCATTCCCATGTCTACTAAAGCTACTAAAAGAGCTTTGCGATATTGTACTGTAGAAACGGTTGTCGTTCATAAGCTTCTTGCTGATTATTTCTTCAAAGATCAAGTCAAATTTTTTGATGAACGAGATCTCAAATCTATTCAATTGATTTATCTCCTTCTTTTGGAGTTTGTTGATCAACTTAAATACATTCTCTATCATGTTTTGCTCTTGATGATTCGCTGTATTGACGGATTTTACCAACTTACTGATCCACGATTTGTTTGATATAATGTCTAAAATTTCAGAGTCCAACCGAGACTTGAAAATTTGAATATCTAATGAATAATATTTATCTGAATGAACACCGAAATCTTTTTGTTTAGATGGAGGAACTCCTCTGGTAGTGTTGGTAGGTGGTACTGAATCAGGGGGTTTGTAATTATCAGGAAACGCCCTGAATGCCCCAATTTCAACTTTTCCTTGGTCTTCTGTTTTCATAGGATCAATTACTATAGCTAGGTATGGATCTTGGAAGTTCTGGTTCAAACTTTGTGTTGCAACATCTATTCCGGATAACCAACAGCCATAACCAGGATGTGAATGATACCATCCAACAATATTTTCGTTTCTGCCTACTTGTTTCAGGTTTTCTAAATACTGAACCATATACTCATAGCCTTCTGCCTGAGCATTAACTCTGGTCTCGGTACCTTCAACTGGCAATGGATAGACGTCCATAACAATTATTGAGTTCTTAATAATTTTGCCTGTCATCATACCCATAACCTCAATTGTGCCCCCTGATTTGGCATGTACCGACATTTTGCATAATGCTAATGACGATATATACGTCTTCTTGAAGTATTTGGCATTTGACTTCCAAGGTCTTGCCTTCATTATGCTCTCATCAGAGTTTATTGAAAAAAAAGATTCATAATCAGCATGTTTATCTATTTCTGTAGCATCTAACAGCTGTGTGAGTATTCTTTCATCTGAATCATTAACGAACACATCTGCGAGTTCATGAATACATCGCATTATTTAAGACTGTACTTGTTCTTATAATTTGGTTCAAATTAATCAAAGTTTATTTGTGGAGCCTTAAATGCGCATTTGTTATCAATTGAGTATTTATCATAAAATTAATCATAAATAAGTATATAAACTATTTCATATTAGCATATTCTAAAATAATGGGAAAATCGAGTAAAATATCACACAGCAAGTGGTTTCAATTAGGAGTTTCGAATGAATCTTCAAAGTTGAATTCTTGATCATTATTTGTGGGTGGATAATACATTGGGAATGGTATTCCATAACCGTTTTGAGATTGATATTCTGGTGATGCTTCATATGGAATAAAATATTGATATGGATTATAATAACCCGAATTTGAACCAGATGCTACTTCATTAGTTGGAATATAATAAAAATATGGTATATTCTTAGTTTTGTTACTGGAATTTTTCAGATTCTTATTTCCTCCTCCTGATGCCACATAATCCGATCTTTCACTATTCACAGCACTTGAAGGAGAGTAACCACTTTTGGTAATTGTATGCGAATCATACGTTTGAACACTTTCAGGCGGTGTAGGTGAATCTTCCTTAATTTCCGGTTTCAATTTATCATAAACATCACCAAACTTAGAGTATTTTCGTTTTCCTATAGAGTTTGAATTATATGGATTGGTTACGTTTCTTTGTTTAGCATTATTTGTAGTGTAGCTGTTGAAATTTTTCTTTGTTGGTATTGGGATAGGCATTGGGTATAAGTGGTGGTTGAATGGTGAAATCTTTCTGAAATCAGAAGTCTTTTTTGTGCCTAAGATAGATCTTTTCTTTAAATTAATTGGAGGGGGTGCTAATGCAATTCCTTGAGCTTTAGGTGAATGCTTCAAGGTATTTGAATGCAATTCTCTATACTGAACATGCATTGTCCTATCTTTAAACATAGAATGATTTTCTCTTTCGACAGCACTTGCTGCACTTGCCTCTTCCTTATACTTAACAAAGCCAAATGTATTGGAAGTCTTTTTAATGATGGTGACTTCCTCAATTTTACCATGACGCTTAAATCTATTAATTAGCTCATCTTCTGTTACGGAGGAGCTCAATTGGCCAACAAAGACAGAAAACTTATCAAACTTCATTTTATTTTCTTCTTGCTTTGACAAGTTGTGATTGGTGTGACTTTTATTGCTACTGAAGGTTTCAATATTTTGGGCCCATTCAATATGAAATAGGTTATTTTCACTTAGATTAGCAAATGCTCTAATAGCGTCATCACGATAAACATACTTGCAGAACCAATGCTTTGAACTCTTAATATTTGGCTTGTTTGACTTGACATTGCCAAATTCATCACTTGGGATCAATTGTTCGATCTCTCCAAATTCTTCTAAAGCATCTTTGAATCCCTTCTCTGTTTTCAAGAACTTGGAAGAAATAAATAAGGTCCTGTTAACTTTTGCCGCTTCACATCTTAAGTTCCTGCCATTCAATACCGAGTTGTGGCCCTTCGAAATGGCCGTTTTCGAATCTTTGTCATTGGTATACTGAACAAAGGCATATGGCCTGTTAGCCGGATCACGGAGCACTTTCACAGTTGATAATTTGCCCCATTGTGCAAAATGCTTAGTTACAGACACACAAAGCTCGTCATCACTTCTACTAGAGCAAAGACTAGCAACAAATACGCAACTAGATGGTCTCCCTCTCGCAAGAGGCTGGTCACTTGCAATCTTACCATCTCCTTGATTTGGGTCGCAATTTTCTTTGTTTTCCTCTCGATCACCGCTTTCATTACGTTCACTATGCCCCTCAGAGTCATCGTGATCACTCTCAGAATTAGCACCCTTCGCATTTAATCCGATGTTTTGGACAACTCCTTCTCCTGGAATTTCTTCTTCTACGTCCCCTTCGTTGCTATTACCGTCAGTGTTTTCGTTTTCGTCGACGGCGGCTAATTTGTTTGAGTCAATAAATAGTTGGTTAAACATCGCTAAAGTGCTTTCCTCACCTTCTTCCATGTAATCAGACTCGTGTTCATACACCCCCGATTCTAATACTGGTGATATGGATCTCTGGTCCATGTACTGCTTTTTTTGCATGTCTCTAAAAATTAGGGAGTTTTAGTTAGTTATTTATATGAGCTAAATCTATAAGGCCTCGTTTTGTTCTGGCTTCGTGACTTTTGACTACTTGTTTAATAGCCGCTGCTAATAAATTTGATTTTAATCCGAAAGTTTGACTATTCGTAATTCTACAAATATACCTTTTTCCAAAAATACTAATCTATCACTGTTTTATAACCACAGAATAACATTAATGGCTGCAAATAATCACAAAGCGTGTATATACCAAAATTAACTTCCAACTTCAAAGACATATCGCTTGAATGAGGTTGCAAACATCAAGGTAGCGGATGAATTTAATCTGATAAATCTTGGAAAGCTTGCGGACATGCCAGTGTCCCTGTTTTGCTTCTGATCCTAGTGGATTATCGTGTGCTAGAGAGCAGTGGTGACATAGTAGTGGAGACACCAGTCAGGCTAATCTGAAGTAAATTTGCGGTCGAATGGATAGGGTGGCAATTCCATCAAAATGTGGGGCCTGAACACTATCATCTACGATAGAACTGACTTCTGTACTCTAAATAAGAGTAAGACTACAAGTAACTTTCAGGTGGTGATGAATCATTAGTAATAGTAAGTGGAGTTCGGAAAAACTCGCGTTCGATTTGTGTATGGGGCAAAATTGCCCGCAGTGTTGCCCGCAATAAAGACGGGGAGTCAGTTGGAGAAGCGATATAGGCAGTGGAGAATGCTACTCTAAGGACCTGGGATGCAACTGATGCTTATGTGCGCGTTTGCTTCATACGCCTGCAAGACGTAACAGTCATACAATAATCATCAAATAATCAAGCAAGTATAGCATTAGTGAAGTATACAATGCATTCATCCGAAACATCTACAATGGATTTTATCCCCAACCACATTTTGATGATTAATACTCCTTGAACTAGGCCATGTAACTATGTTGTCTGTGGATGCAAACGTAATGTGGGGATATTATCCTTCTGACCGAAAATTGGAGACCATGAAGGTAGTAAACGCAGTATGGGGAGTCGGGCACGCGACCCTCCACCTATCGTGAAAACCAATAACCCGTCTGGCCTTCTCTAATATACTATTAAACAAATGAAAATTTCATGTTGTCATCGATTAGGCGCATGGTCTAGACACATTTCTGTCTTGGCGACTATACTGGTTAGCTAAATTGCTTGATAATCGTATCATATACTCTTACTCTCATTACGAATCACCGATGCCCTTAGGATAGCAGTATCAGGCTCTCCCGTAGTTTCTATTTATGACTATCTGTGATTAAGAGCAAGTCAAAATTGCATATGAAGAGCCATCCCTATTCTTCTATTAGCATAGCAGAGCCCATGTCTGCATATAGGTTAGCTGTATCACACAATCGGCTTGCTGTTATATTCTAGAGTAACATAATATTCAGTGCATATTCCAATAATGTTCTTCTACATGTCTTTGGACTGCCTCTCCATGTACATTTCTATTCTTAGCTACAGTTGCTTATCTCCATTTTACAGACGTACTTGCTTTTTAGAACCTTAATAAGCGCTAACCACATTAGCCTCTGGCCAGCCAATACCCCTTTTCAATCAGTCCAAACCCTGTAGTTACCCTAATTATACCTCTGCGTCATAATCTGCGAGTGTTTTAAGTCTATTTCTGTACTTCCTTTCTGGCTAATCAACAATTTTAGCGCAATTTCCCAGCTATTGTTCCCCAAATATTGAGACCATGTCGTTAATTCGAAAATGTCGCGTGCTTTCCCCAATAATAGCTGTGGTTCCCCAGAATTCTCCCGAGTCGGCGCTGCACCGACCGGTGAGCTGTCGTTTGCCACGGTTCACTGCGTTCCTTCGCTAAAAACAGTATGCAACTTATCGCACCACTATTTACGTTTCTGGGTACCAAAAACTGGTAAAAATGGCGCACCACCAGAATCCATCGCTCCCCGGGTTTTCGATTTGGGAACGTTCCAGGTGCTTCACATATCCCCATAACCTTAGATTCATAACAACAATATATAATTTGAGTAGAGTTAAAAATGTATCGGTATATCTATATGTTACACCCCACTGATTACACACTTATAAATTAGTGGGGTGTCCAACGTAGCTCGGCACTACAGCGTATATAGTTAGTAGTATTGTATGCTTAATTGGAGATTTTCCGCAGTATATATATGGTGATAGTTCGCTCATTAGGAAAAAAGGCTTAAATTTTTTTCTGATGTCCCCTCTATTTTCAAATTTTTCTTACAGAATATAAAATTTTTTTATCTCAGTTATATTTAGTTTTGGAGTACAAAATCTGTACTTTTTAGAAGCAGTTAGTATATCTGGACCAAAACGGTATCTATTGATACAAGAAGAATAACCTGCTAAGATATTTTAAGTGTTGAAATTTCACATCCATTAATATTGAGCTGAACAAGTCACCGCGGCATAAGGTGCGATAAAATAGACAGTCCAACATGACTACAAAGACCCAAGAAAAGCGAAAGGATCCGTCCAGCAGGCCTTACAAGTGCACAATGTGTGACAAGGCATTTCACCGACTCGAACACCAAACAAGACACATAAGAACCCATACGGGGGAGAAGCCCCACAGCTGTTCATTTCCCGGATGTTTTAAGAAATTCAGTCGTTCAGACGAGCTTACTAGGCACTCCAGGATCCATACTAATCCCAATTCACGTCGAAACAAGAACTTGAGTAAATCTCAGCAAAAAATACCGGTACCCCCGCAAACTCCAAAAGCAGACCAGTCAGACCAATCCCACGAAGAAATACAAATAATTCAAGAAAAAACACAACCGGGACATATTAAATCGGAAAATGGAGAACTGGATGAATCGATAAAACAGGTACGTAGTGCTCTTGGACCGCCTCTAAAGGTGAATAGTTCGGAGTCATCGTTTTCATCGAACCTGTTGGGAAAAAATAAGTCTCATAATTCTGATGATTTTACTAATAAGGATAACAAATCAGAAAACAGTGAAGATGAAATGCAGAGTACGCCGCCTCTGGATGATTGTACCTCTCATGCCACGGTATCAAATGCGCAAAAGAATATCGATATTTTGGCGTCTGCAGCTTCGGAAGAGTTGGAAAACTTAAACTCCAAGTCATTACCATCATTGACGGACTACTTCAATAACGGTAAAACAGTTCCATTTTCGGTAGCTGCTCCAAAGTCAATAAACTCATCCAGCTCTACGAACAATTTACAATATTTATCTAATGTGGCTATGATGTCTTCTAACAAGCGTCATTCTAAGAGCTCAACTACATTAGCGGGTAAAGGCCACACTAATGCTTTGTCTGTTTTGCAAAGGATGACACCATTAAACCCGGTGCCCCAGAATTCGCATGCCTTACAGGATTCTGATTTCGATTACGTGAAACAGAGGTTGAAGAAATCAAGACCTAATTCTCCTGACAATAGCAAACATTTCACTTTACCTAACTCCCCCGTGCTTGGTTTATCATCTACTACAACTCCTATAATATCCGCTAATAATAGTTCCACCAATTTAGCTTCGTTAATGATGGCATCATCCTCGAATAATGTTAACACTGATGGTGGTTTTATACCAAGACAGAACAATTCGTCTCCACCACCACCGCCACATAATGCTTTTGATAGAAACAGCTTTAAGGATGATAATAGCTTACCCCCATTAAGAAGTTTGAAATTGGATTTGCCTACTAATTTGCCAATGCAATCTATCAATGCTTCATTTGATATGGGTTCCACAATCAAAAGTGCGCCATTTCCTTCTAATAATGGTGAAGGACGTCATTATTGATCACTGATCCCGTAATAGTTTTGATATGTAAAATAGTGTAATAGTATTACTGTATAGTAAGTAAGGTTTAATCAATATGATGCGGTTAACACCGAACAGAATGTATGCATGGAAATCCTTTTCTCCGATTAAAAATTTCATCTCATCAGCGAAACGTGGAGGCATATTCAGTTGCATTCAGGAGGCAATAGAAATGAAAAAATTGCACATGCTAAATTCTTACAACACTTTAGATACTGTATTCAATTAACAAAATATATTCTATAATACATATTTATTTAGATAGAAAGTTCTGGATCAAGTATAACTACTTTGATAAATCTACTCCGCCGATGGCCCAGACTTCACTTTCGTCTTCAATTCTATCTGAGTATAAAGTCTCTTCATCACCACCTGCTTCAATTCTCTCTCTCTCAACACCGGCCAATCTTGTGGCAACCCTCTTCGTATAATCACCGATGGATCTTGGAATAATAGATATTCCAACAACCCCAGATATATTAGATTGTTTGCTGTTGAACCATTCATTAAAGTCATTCATTTGTTCGTCATCTACCAAATTGAAGACAGCAATGTACGCTTTTTCAGCTGCTAATTTAATTGGAATAATTGTGTCACGAACACATGTAAAAACAGATGGAACCAAAAGGTCATAAAATGGTTTGACTAATTCTTGATACTTGAATCTAGCAATAGTTCTTACTATCACTAATGATAATCTTCTAGTATCAGGTGAATTTGAATTTGGCTTAACCATATTCGTTGCCAACTGTTCCACTAATTTGTGTATATTGTCATCATCAATCTCAAACTGATTCTCGCTTACAATCGTGCTAGATGTGACTGGTGATTTAGTCTCTTTCAACAACAAGCACAATTTACCAATCGCAACAGTTGCATTAGCACTAATGTAATCGTTCGAAGAATTGGAACAATTAATTATAAATGTGACAATCTCATCTAATAATCCCGTCTGGAAGATATGGTGTGGAGCATCTTTCAAGAAGGAATTAATAGCCAATATAGCAAATTTGTGATTATCAACATTAACATCATTTTGTTTTTCCAAAATTTTAGATTTAAGTATAACCGTAGCTTCTTCGGCAGACAAAATTTGTGATAACGAACCGATTAATCTAGCATACGAAACAGCCGACTTATCACTAACAAGAGTAATCTCATCTTCTACTAAAGACAAAATAGAAGTCTTGGAAGCTTCATTCATATTTTTACCAGCCTTGCTGACAACTTCTAACATACCTTTCAACATGGCAGTCTTGACGCCTTGTTCGGTGGCATTTCTTGCTCCAGTCACTAACTCAGTAACTAAGGAATCTACTCTAGGCTGATGTTCTATCAATGTACCTAAAGCAACAACAGCCCTAGAACGTAATGCATCGTTTTGTGGATCTGACAAGGATCTCACAAAAGTCCTCTGTAATTGAGGAATAAATGGACGTAAAAACTGTGGAATCTTAGAAAGTAAACTGGTTAAAGCATATAAAATACCAGCCTTAATATCAGAGGACACACGCTCACCTATAACACGAATTAATGGACCAGTGATAGTAGTAGCAAATGGTTTCAAATTTGCAGCTGGTGTTTTATCAATGATGTCTGCTATAGCAAGTGCAGACATTTCTCTCTGATCACTATTACCATACATCAAACCATGCGAGAAAATTGGTAATATACAATTTGGTCCTCTTGGTAATGTGAACGCAGCTAATTCTTCACCTCTAACACCTGTAATGCTTAAGGCTTGACGTGCAGGTTTAATAAGCCTTTCAAGAGATTCCTTACTTTGTCTTTTAACTAACGCAGATAATGCATCGAAGCTACCCTTCACTACTTCAGGTGATCTATCACCCAAAGAAAGAATGAATTGCGATACCATATCTTGTATGTAAATAGTATAATCAAGATTAGTATGTGTGAAAAATGAGCCTAAGCGTTCATAGATTACCGCTCTCTTAGCAGCATCTTCATGCTTAACCAAAGACAATAATTGTTGCATTAATGGGTGGACTCCTTCATCATCATCAATTGCCAATAAAATTTTATCAAACGAAGATTTAATTTCATCTTGAGAGGCTTCTGATTCGTTCTTGGATTCGATAACTGCCGTAACTAAAGTATTGATAATAAGTGACAAGCGCTTATACAAGGCAGGTCCAGCAACAGAGGCCAAGGAAGAAAGTGCTCTAGCCTTAAATGCGTCGATAGGAGGAGATAACAAGGTTGGTATCAATATTGGGAAAATAACATCTGCCTTTGTAGCCATTATATCTTGCAAAGCTAATAATGCATTCTCTGTATTATCAGATTCTAACATGTTCAAAAGATAAGGCAAGATTTCATCAATAACGACCTTGCCAAGTTCCTCTTGTAAGGCTTTGAATGCTTCTGCAGCAGCCTCTCTGACCCCTGTAGCAGGGTCAACAAGAGCATCACGAATGATGCTGATAAATATATTTTGATACTCAACAAGACCATCATATTGTGTCGATTTAATCAATTCAGAGAGTGCGATACAAATTCCTTGTTTAGCATCATTATCACCAGATACCAACGATGATTGCAAAGTAGGTAATAATTGTGCCAATGCATTCGCACCAACCCGACGAACCATCTCTCCAAGAGTTTGAGCTGCAATCGTACGTTGCTCTTCATCTGAGGATGCTAAACGACGAACAATTATCTGGGTCAAAGATGGTAAAATTTCCTTGACAGTCCTTGGAGTATTTGCAACCAATGCTTTCCAGATATCAACAGCTGCACTACGAACAATACCTGCAACATCAGAACGGCATACAAATAATAATGATAAAATACGATCACGGCGCTCCTGGCCAAGTACTTCAATAAGGGTCTTGTTAACTTCACCGGAATATTCAGAAACTTCTTCTGTAAGTTCACTCTTACCTGAAATACCAGTGACTTGGAATAATAAGTCACCAGTGAGTTCGACAGAAGAAAGACGAATACGGTAGTTAGTGTCTGACAATCCAATTTCTAGTTCAGGCAATAATAAATCAACTGCCTTCTTAGCATAGTTCTTGACGATCAACCTACCAGCTCTTAAAGCGGTATCTCTGATTTCTTCATCTGTATCAGCCAAACCTGACAAAATAGGCGGAATAATACGATTTAAATATGGAGAAAATTGAGAACCAAAACAGACAGGTAAGAATAATAATAAAGGCATAAAACCAGCACGAATGTAATTACGAGGAGATGATGCACATGATAAGATATCTGGTAGTAATTCTTCCAATTTATTAATACCTAGACCACAGATAACCTCTGAAAGGGCCTGGGCAGAACCAAGTCTATCTCCGGCCTTCGTTTCATCTCTCAATGTGTCTAATAGACGAGGAATCAAATCGGGGAATTGTTCCTCCCCTAATTTTTCAACTAAGGAACCTAATGCACGAGCAGCAGTTGATCTTGTTGCCGGCACTGGATCTACCATAGCAACTTCTAACTCCCCAACTAAAGCAGACAAGTATGGGCGAAGATCTTTACTATCCACTAAAATTGCCATGTTACCGACAATTTGACAAGCTTTTTTCTTCGTCGCAGCAGACCTGTCCTTCATACCTCTATGAATAACATGGATTATAAGAGCTAAAGAGGGACCATCAATATAATGCACAAATTGAGTTTGAATTAATTTATCTAGAGCAGCTTCAGTGAATTTAGTTGGATCACCGATGGCATTGATTAAATCTGGGACAATAGCTTGGATTTCGGGGTTACGAATAACTTCACCAAACCTTTTCAAAGCTTGATCAGCAGCTTTTCTCACTTCTTTATGGGTATCATTTAATACACCAACAATTTCAGGTACAATAGTAGATAAAGATGAAGATAACTGGGTAGGATCCAAATAAGCCATAGAACCTAATAATTCGACTGAACCCTTCTTAGATCTCCATGCAATCTCATCCAAGTTAGAAATTGCAACAGGAATCAACTTTTTAACACCAAAACTGGTGGTATTTTTCATAATTTGTTTTGCAGCAGAATCCGTAGCCTCCCTAACCTCCGGCACTTGGTCACCTAATGATTTCAAGAGAATAGGTAAAATTTCGATCACATAAGGTTCAAAAAATTTTCCCAAGCTCTGAGATAAGCATTCAAATGCAAATGAAACACCTTCTCTGCGTTGCGAGTTCTTTTTGTCGTCTGCAGCATCGGTTAAGTTTCTTATGATATCATACGTGGATAATGATTTAATACCCGAACCTTTAACTAAACCTGAAATACCATACGCTCCACCACGTCTTGAAGCCATTGTTTTACCTTCAAATAACTTCTCAAATAAAATATCAAAATAATGCTGCAATTTTGGAGTAAATGAAGGAACCAATGGGGCAATGCACTCAGAGATCGCATACTGAACGTCCTCGGATGGGGTATCGAGAGTTTTAATTAATCTGTCCACAATCAAATTCAACCTCGAATCTGACTCATCCAAATGACGTGCCAATGCACCATATAAGATAATCACGCATTCTCTTATATTATCTTGTGTTTTTGAGCCATCATCCTTTGCAGCAAGACAAGCTTCAAAAATTGGAATCAAAACTTCAATGTTAGTATATCCATGTTTCTTAATAACTTCAATACCAGCTTCCTGTAATTCTTGGCGAACCAAATCTTCCTTATCACCTAAAGCCTTTTCATCTACCAAAAATTTAAACAATTTCTCGATTGAGTGCTTTTCAAAGAAGGGACTCATCAATTTTATAGTTAATGCAATCGTTGATCTTTCCTCCCAGGTGTCTCTTTGATCGAAAGAAGATTTAATCACTAAACCAAATCTGTCCAATGCAGGCGGTGGAGGGTTCTTTTTTACGTGGTAGAGGTCAATTAGTTGGTTCAATGTATCTTCAAAAATATCTCTGTTGCTAGCAAGTAATTCAGACACGGACGAATAAATCGCATTCGCTATAGATAACCTTAAGCCTGAATCCTTATTGCCGGTATATTGCAATAATCGAGTTGGTGCATCTTGCTCAAGTTTGAAATTGTTATCTTCCCAAATTGTTTTTGCTAGCTCAGCAGTATTTGGATCGTTATCATGTATAGCAATCCATAATTCATTGGAATATGTCATTTCAGTAGTTAAATCAAATTCAGAATCAATACCTTCCAAGATTGTATTTCTAACAAATACTTCAGGTGAAATGATATTGTCAAAAAGTATTCTTAGATCTGTTTCAGTAATACTAACAGAAATATGTTGGCACATAGCTAAAAAGCATTCCTTAGACAATTTCGCTTTTGAAGGTAGCTTCATTAGCGATAATAATACTTCCAAAATCTTTTGCCTTGGGATAGTATCATCCTCAAAAACTTCTGCATGAGAGGAAATTATTTCAATAGCCAACAATAGTTGCTCTTCCTCTGGATCTTCTTCCACAAATTCCGATGTAACTTTTTGCTTGGTTGCATTTTTCATAGCCACAGTCTTACCATTTTCAAGAACCTTAGTCAATAATGGCAAGATATATGATAATGAAAGCGAATCTAATGGGTTCTGATCAGAGAGAAACTTAATCCTAAATAATATTCTTGAAGTTAAACTTAAAATAGGTTCTTCTAACAAATTTTCTTTTAATCCTTGGACTTTATTAAGCCTTAAAATGGCGACACCTACGAATCCTTTCAATAAACCTAACCTTGGTGAGATCAAATCAGCTAAGCGCAAAATTGACTCTAGGGCTAAATCATGCAACAAACGACGAATAATTTCACTTTCAGTTAATATGAGGATCTTAGTAATAGCCACAGGATACCAATGTGCAGCCCCATTATCAACTTGAATTGCATTAGAAACCAAGTCGTTAACAATGTCGATTCCGCGGTGAAAATCGTTAACCAATATTTGGACTTCTTTACGAATATTAGATTCCTTGTTCAATTGCTCGTTTACAAGGGATTGCTCTTCTTTGGTTAACTTTTTAGTAGTTTTTCCCTTATTTTTATTTGCTAATTCTTTCCTCATTTCCTCTTCCCATTTCCTAGTCTCGTAATCCTTGGTATTTTTATCATCGTTCTTCTTTGAATCAGAATTACCATTAAGAACATCAAAGACTAAGACACCATCAATACCCTGCCAAATTTTGATTGCTTGGTCATCAATATTAGCAATTTTATCAATGTCAAGATCTGACGATATCAAGGCTGATACTTTTGCTCCAAAAATTTCTGGTTTTATAAAAGAAATCATACTCATTGATTTAATAGCTGCTTTGTATACGAATCCTGTAAATGTGTTGGCTTTAAGGAATTCCAATGTGGATGTAAATATATCATCAGCATTATCTTGAACTAGATCACCTACATCAATATTTGATCTTTGACAAAGTCCTACCCATTCGTTTCTAATTGGAATCAAACTATGATTTGCGGCAACCAATAGCTTTTGCAAATTCGCTTTTGAGACGCCTTGATTCTTTAATTGAGTTATAACCGAAAAGACTGGAGATAAAAATTTGAAATTATAACTAAATACTTCTTGATCTTTTTGATTATCGGAGTCAATCAAGACAGTATAAATCGAATTTATAATTAAATCACTAAACTCTTTTTCATTCTCATTCAAGCAATGTTCCATTAACTCTAGGCATTGAAGTCTTAAGTCATAAGAAATATTCTTTGAAATTGCTAAATAAATCCAAGCAAGTCCATATGCATCCTTGTCTTCTTGATCAAGCAGGACAATATAGCTAGCAGATTCCTTTAAAGCTCTTAAAAGCCAGATATTCTCGCTCGGGTTCGATAATTTTGTAATAACCTTTGAACTTGTCAAAATTGATGGTTTCTCAGTATTATGCAAAGAATTAACGAAAATCTTTTCATCATTAATGACCTTTGAATTGCTCTTTTTGACTAATGAACTTAAGGCTATGACAACGTATGAACACGATATACCCTTATTAGCAATTGTAGGCAAAGGAGCTTGCTGAGCTTCTTCGATTGAATTAGCCAAAATTGGATATAAGGTTTCAATTAGTTGTAAAAATGTGTCATTACGAACGATTTCAATGGTATTATATACATATGCACCTAATTCAAGATACCAGATACGCCTCAATTGTACTTTTTTATCACTCAAACCGAGCTTAAATTGATTGACAAATTTAGAATTATCCTCTTCTGAAATTTCTTCATTATTGGCAATTATGTCCAAATAATGGTTTGTGAATGTATTAATTAAACCAGTTAATGAAATTTCATTTTGATCTTTGGATACAAACGGTAATAAGCCATTTAATATTTGTAAGGATATACCTTTATTTTTAAACTTAAGCATTGATAATATCTTAACAATTAAGTATTTTGATTCATTATTTGAGGTACTTTTAAAAGACTTTAAACATTCATCCACCAACTTGGTGAATGTATCGTCAGAAGAATTCCAGAAATGGTTATTAATCAAAAATTGTATTGAATTAAATGCACCACTTCTTGTTAATTCTTTAGGAGATTTAAATGCATTCAAAAAGTTATTCAAAAGTTTTGTATTAACTAAAGTATTACTTAAATCAATGTCCTTACTCAAAAATTCGAAGAGCCTTGGAATTAAATGACCAAACGAAACTTCTGAAGATCTTAAAATCGCCTTATCTAATACTGGTGCAATAACAGTATTAAAATCATCTTCATTAACACAAGATTTGATATATTTCCCGAACAATTTCAAGGCATAATCATGAGGAGGTACCTTATTCAATAACACTTGATTGGTATAGTAATCCAAAATCGAAGACTTTGTACTTCCACCGGATTTAGTGAAATGATCTAAGAGGCCTGGATATGTTGGAAGTGCATCCACAATTGCATCTGATAAAACTCCTAAATAAGAAATCACAACAGTTGGAGAAACTTTATTTGTAGGAGAGATAAGTGCAGTAATATAATTATCAATAACCTTGGTAGAACCATCCAGCTTAACAAAAGTATGCGTAATAGAATATTTGGTAGACGAGAATACAGAATCGTTGATTCTTCTTCTGTGCTGGAAACTTTGATTACTTTCATTGAGAATTGTATTGACGCAATTCTTAAATAAGTAAGCCTGACTCAATACTACTTTTTCAATCAACTCTTGTTTGCTGACTCCTAAATCAGCAATTATAATACTTAATTTATTAATCCAACTCAATAAAGTTAAGTAATCTGTAACAGCCATTGACTTTTCTTTGACTGCAATGTCATAAATAAATTTAATAAAAATAGGTAAAAGCTCATTCTTGAATACAATAATCTTTTCTAAGGTCTTTAGCAACTCATTTCTTGAATTAACATCCTGGTAGTAATTATATGTTTTTAATAATGTTTGACATAATTCTAGTAATTCTTGTTTATCATCGGTTATCTTATTAGTATCCAAAAGAAGTTGAATTTTTCGTAAAAATGGTATTCTTCTACTGGTCAACGAGTCAAATATCTCTTTTTCATAAATATTTGACAATTGATCCCAGGTAACGTCAGTGTCTGAAGTCATTATTTCAAAATCTAATTTGAAAATAAACGTCTCTTCGGATCTTGACTCTATATTCTATAATAGTCTTTAGTTAACGCTCTATGAGTAGTCTAAATTGAAAAAAAATACTATTGCGTGTAGAAACCAAGCCAAAATTTCAAGTACGTTACCCGGCAAATTTTAACGTTGGCTCTTTCAGTATAAATAGAGCATTAAACTACAAAAATTTCCCGTTTTAAGTCTTTTTCTTTATCAACTATACCAGTCGATGAAGAGAGGCTATAGTTAATACATCCGTTGCAGCAATTTTTACTCACTATTATATTCTTTTGGGTATATTAGAGGGCGCTGTGGATAACATCATGGTCACATCACCACATAATAATGATGTTTATAAATATCTGAGACTGGAAATGTTGATCATATTTTATTCTATATATAGAAATTGTAGTAAGGTTAAGTCTATCATTGAGAGAATAGACTAAGCATAGGCTATACTTACACCTCTTATCTCAATAATCGTGAGTGATCAGTTAGTGTACCATGTAGTGACGAGTAAAGAGTAAGCTAACTCATGTGAGCCGTTTTTAAGTGAAATTTTATGTGCATCTAGTGACATTCGCTGATATGCATTATGTCGAAAACTCATAAGGGATAAGGGTGAAAAGACAATAGGACAAAGGTTGTACGAATATTGTTACAATTCATAATCAATAATACAATACTTTTATTAAATACATTGCTAATTATAGTATATATAAACTAACTTTTTTACTAGATTTTACAACTAAACCAAAACTAACATTAATAATAAATATCTAGAACCCCATGAATATCATAAACCAAGTAGATATATCATCACCTGGATAACAATAAATAATCATATAATAAATAAACTAGTCTAGTTGCACTAACTAGACTCCAAATGAACTCATAACTGTACTCTTTTGTTTAACAAAACATTCTTTTTAATGACCAACATAACTATCTATTCTCCGTGTTTGAAGCAACATCTGTTGCCGTAACGGCATGAGCCAAACTTGGACCAATTAGCACAAGGCTTTGATCTCCATTTTGGAGGTCTGGATACAGACTTAAGCTCATTCTCACCATGAGCGAATTGACATTTATTTCCGTAAGGACAGATTCCCATCTTAATGTAAGAAGCACATAATTCAGTCTTGTACAATTGTGTATTCACATTCAATTGTTTGTTCTTCTGTTGTTGTGTCTGTTGAATGCTGGGACACTGAGCAGCCTGTTGGTTCAATAATGCCTGTTGTTGTTGCTTTTGTTGCTGTTGCTGTTGTTGAAATTGTTGTTGTTGAAATTGTTGTTGTTCGAAATTGAAAATCTCGTCTGAATGGTCTGACAAAGAGGAGCTTCTACCAGGATAAACAAACGTACTAGTATTTGTGCTGTACATCAAATTCTCTTCTGTCAATGCTGGCAAATCATTGAAAGCCGTGTTGCCAGAGATTGGCTTATACTCTATACTGTCTCTCAACCCACAATTAGCTTGAGGGACAACTCCCCTGCCCGCTAAGTACCCATAATTTCCATTTGTCTGGCTCATCAATGGTGGTGTTACCAGAGCTGGTGATTTCCACATTTTATTATGACTAGGTGACGACGAACTAGGGGTACTAGACGCTGAAGATGCGCAATCGTGGCTGGATGGCATCAGCCATAAATCTGCTAAAAGGTCGCCTTTCACAGCTCCAACATCCATTTCTGTCCTTTCAACAGCTCCGAGACTTACGGCCCCGAGCTTCTGATACTGTTCGTTGTTCACTTGAGGGTAGCCCATCATGTTATCATTTAATTGCAACATCTGCAATGGCACATGGTGAAATACAGTCATTTTTTGTTATAGTTGTATTTTGATATATATATATTTGCAATATGTTATGTATAAATGAAAATAATATTAAAAGTATACCTCAGAAATATATCACTGATATAAAAATGCTTGGGTATTTGCAATTATTTATATTAAGCCGTTAGTTAAATGTTCCGCATCGGAGCTAAAGGATTTTTTTTCCTCGTAAGGGGAGGGTAGAACGACTGATAATGTTGAGCAATAAGAATTGCTACACAAACTACCAAACCCATAACAAAAACCCTTCTACAGTCTGCGGCTAAATGGGGTAAGCATGCAAATGTCTTGTCGACTCCGATTAATATGGCACGTTATACTATGAAAATTTTGCACAATACTTTTTGGAGATTTAATTGGAGTAGGGCTTACTGCGTACAAAAAACGACTATAAGCGGAGAATCAAAAATACAACATTACACAAGCCGTACCCCCATAAGCATATTTTAGTTTCTCCATTTAATAGTCTCTTTGAGCCAAATCGTGGATAGTTTTCCGAATATGGCAATAGGTGTGTAGTGTATAGTTTTTAGTGATATTCAATGCCATTTTACATGTAGTGACTATCGTGAGCTGGGAGAGAAATAGAATCTGTGGCACGATGTTTACATAACTTGTATACAAGTAAGTAGATGCGTACGATAGTTAGAGGTGGCCTGTTTGAAAATAGGCGCGGATATGCTTAAATCACTCGATATTTCTAGTTAATGGTACCAATTAGCCATAAAAACTCGGGTATGAATACAACTCAAGAAATGACATGATTAGCGGTTAGAGAGTGTGGATGAATATTCATTCGACGAACAATGCAATCTGCCCTCGGCCCCACCCTCGCCGAGCTGACCGAGATAAGGGTTTCGATATATGTAGAGACCACCCTATATCTTCCGGAACTGGTAGTGGGGACATTTTTGCAGGTGGGTTAAGAATACTCCTCTTGCGATGGAGGATTACATAATCACATATCTCCACCGCATGATAACAGAAGATGTAAGTCCGAGTTTTTCCAGATAGCATAAATAGTAAATTGTGCGATAGTCGGGGCCCAGCGGGAGGCCCGAATTCGGAGAATCAACGCCGCGAAATATGCCAGATGTCTACACGTGCACCTCCTAACGCCAGAGATGTCTGGGTCGGTATGTAAGGAAGTTGATGGCATTGCAAAGTGGCATTATTTAGCTACTATATTTATGAATTGTACACGCCAGAACTAAAAGAGCTTCGCGAACTGTTTAGAATAGAGTCGTTTGTTTACTATAGCGGCTAGTTTACGCGTTAAGAGATTTACGTTACTAGATAGCATATAGTATTTAGTAACTTCAAGATTTATCAGAAACAGTGCAATCGATGGTTGATGATTGGCAATAATATAGCAGAACACTTGAAATGGGTGGAATTTAATAAGCCCCAGATACCTAATCCAAAGATCATTGGCATCTTGGCGAGTATGGGTTCTGATCTGGGTATGAATAATATAACTAGGAAGTCTAATGGATCGGGTCCACTTATCATAAATTCATCGGTTGATTTGCAACTGACTGTTCCAAGATCTAGTACTACTAGCGTCGCCATAAACATACGATCGCCATCGGATCAGCCATTGCAACAATCTACTCAGACAAACAACGATAATGGGACACTGGCAACGCCAGGTATAAGGCAGGAAGTAATCAGAAGTCGTGTTAGTAGAGAATCTACAGTTGACAGTGCAAACAGGAGTGTTAACCATGAGAGCTTGCAATCAGATAGGAAGCTCAATACCGTCAAAAGCAACAATTGGAATGCAAATCATAATAGCGACAAAGAAAAAGATAACGACGATGTAATAGACCTCACCATGGAGACTCCTAGAAGTCAAAAAAAACAGAAGTTGAATCCAGATAATCAGGGGTTGCTTCAGCAGGCATACATACGAATTTGTGAAGACAAGATAGCACTTTTAATGGAAAGATATACCACTATTGAATCTACTTCAATCTCACTTGATGATAAAAAGAACTACCTAAAGAAAACATTTGAACCTAAATTCAAACATATTAACGAGAATCAAGCTAGCTTGAGAAGTAGACTACTGTTTTTGAAGAACGATTTGCAACGCCATGATAATACACCTAACCTTAATGAATCTAATGAAATTCCTAATTTTGATTCAGACAGGATTTCTGATTCACCAAAGGATATAAATGCAATCGATAAAATTGACTTTTGCTCTCAATTCTCAGAGATCAATCAAAGTAGCATTGCGAAAGCTATGAATACCCGGGAAAATTTAGAACCTTCAAACAATGAAGAAAATGAGGTTCATTTAGTTCATGAATCTTCTTCGCCATCGAGGTATGCTGAAAATTTGAACGAGGCAAGACAGCTTGTTATGCAATCTAATTTGAGGAACAAGCTGGATCCTCCTAAAATAAGTTATAATAGCGAGAGTGAGGATGATGAGGATAATTTTGGAAATAATACTATGGATGGCTTACGAACGCCTAGCCAAGAACGAAATGATGAGTATGACCTTGGCAGTTTTATCGAATTTGAACAAGAAAATTTGGACAATGAATCTGTTGATGAATCTTACGTCGAGTCTCAAAGAAACAAGCATGAGTCAGACCATTCTGATAACTACACCGAACATGACAGCGATGGTGAGATTGACAATATTAGATTAAGTTCAGATGTAGCTGAGAATTTTGGCATAAAATACAATGATTTGCCTAATTCCGAAATTGATCTCATCTCAAACATCGACAATAATAGTGATATTATCGATGAAAATGGTGATGATGATGAAGTCGAAGAAATAGAGGATTTTACAACTCAATTAAATCAAGAAAGAGAATTAAATAATACCGAAGATGTAATTGAAATAAGCTCTGACGATGAAGACTTCGATGTATTTGTTAAACCTTCAGCAAATACAAATACACTAGTGGAAACGAAACCAAACCCGCTTATTATGTCTAAGTCTCCACTCACAGAAAACAGTATAGCGATGAACTTACCATCCCAGCATTTAGATAGTGATATTGATTTTAGCGACGATGAAGATGAATTAATCAATATTTTGAATAACCATAAACCAAATAAGGAAAACATTCCTCCCAACTCAGAAGCATTTATCAAAGAGGTTTATAGTAAATTAAATTCTGTATTTAAACTTTCGGGCTTTAGGCCTAATCAATTAGAAGCTATAAGTTCAACTTTGAATGGAAAAGATGTGTTTGTGCTTATGCCTACTGGAGGAGGTAAATCATTATGTTATCAATTACCGGCCTTGATAAAAACAGGTAAGACTCGGGGTACCACAATCGTGGTATCGCCGCTAATATCTTTAATGCAAGATCAGGTTCAGCATCTATTGAACAAAAATATTAAGGCAGGAATGATAAGTTCAAAAGGCTCTGCATCAGAACGGAAATTGATACTTGAATCATTTAGGAATGGTCAATTAGATTTGGTATACTTATCTCCTGAAATGATCAATGCATCACAACATATCCAAAGAATCATAACAAAGCTTTACGATATGAATAAGTTAGCTAGAGTTGTTGTTGATGAAGCTCACTGTGTGAGTTCTTGGGGGCATGACTTTAGACCTGACTACAAAGGTATGAATTACTTTAAGCACAATTACCCTAAGGTACCTATTATGGCACTAACTGCAACTGCGAATGAAAAAGTTAGAATGGATATTATTCACCATCTTAAAATGGGTGATCCAATATTATTGAAGCAAAGTTTCAATAGAATAAACTTGTTTTACGAAATTAAATGGAAGACATCAAATACTTTAGAATGGATAAAAAATTATATCTTGACTAAGCAAATGAATAAAACGGGTATTATATATTGCCATTCAAAACAGTCCTGTGAGCAAACTTCTGAAAAACTAAATGAATGGGGAGTAAACGCTTCGTACTACCATGCGGGACTCTCGCCTACTGACAGGTTTGAAATCCAAAACAAATGGCAGCAAAATAAACTACAAATTATATGTGCAACAATTGCTTTTGGTATGGGTATTGATAAGCCTGACGTTCGATATGTTATCCATTTGTTTATTCCTAGAACTCTAGAAGGATATTATCAAGAAACAGGGAGAGCTGGTAGAGATGGAGCTTACTCTGAATGTATAATGTTTTATTCGTATAAGGATGCCAGATCGTTGCAGAATATGATTCAGCGAGACGAAGAATTAGATCGAGAGGGTAAAGAAAATCATTTAGCAAAGTTGAGGCAGGTTGTTCAATACTGTGAAAACACTACGGATTGCCGGAGAAAACAAGTTTTGCACTATTTTAATGAGCAGTTTAACCCAAAAACGTGCGATAAGAAGTGTGACAACTGCATTAATTCAAGTAATATTACTATCGTCGAAAAAGACGTTACAGGGTACGCAAAAGATATATTAAAATTGGTAAAGTCAATTCAGGATGACAGAGTCACTGTTTTGCACTGCCAGGATGTATTTAAGGGTTCAAACAATAGCAAGATCATGAAATTTGGGCATAATCTCAATCCATACCATGGTAAAGGTAGAGTACTTGATAAAACCGATGTTGAAAGAATATTTTTCTACTTATTAAGTGAAGGTTGTCTCTGTGAATATCAAATTATGAAAGGAGGTTTTGCTTCGAACTATGTTAGACTAGATAAGCAGGCGGAATCTGTATTAAACGATAGAAAATTTATTAAGATAAATTTCAGTTCTCAAAGTAAACAAAGGTCTATAGGTACTACATCTAATGGAAGTACGAATCCCACAAATGGAGGTACCAATCCCACAAATGGCATTCAGTTCCAATCATTTGTCAGTGCGTCGCGTATACAAATCCCTTCCATTCCTGGCTTTGCTGGTGCTGGGGGACATGATAACGAGTATATCAGGCATTCTTTAAATGAATTGAATAATATGAGGATGCAAGTAATGGTCGACTTGGGCTTGGGTTCGGCAGAAAGCGTACTAAGTGATGCAACATTGACAGACATGGCCCATAAATTGCCTACTAACAAGCGCGATTTTGGTAAATTGACTAATATCACTAAGGAACAATTAAATTACTTCCCGCAGTTCAAAAAATTACTAGGTAGCTTGTCGAAAGAACGGAAAAATCAAGTATCGGGCTCGTCATCTAGCACTACATCTCCATACTTTGGAAATCAGCCAGATTTTAATGATCCTAGCACATGGAGAAGCATATATTCTCAGACCGAGAATTCAACTGCATACGTAAATATCAAAAATAAATATAGCAGAGGTAACAAAAAGTTGAGTCAATCGAGCCAAAGAGGCTACAAAAGTCAAAGGGGCCGTACCCAAAAGACTCAGCGAAGTCAAAGGAGCCAAAGGAGCCAGCGTGTATCTAAACCGAAGCCAACCCAGAAAAACACCACAAGAGGCATGCCTTTATAATTAGTTCATAGCTTATTTATTATTAATAGACACTGTACATATTCAATTGTAGGATTCGCATGTTGGTCTACCCATTGGTTGGCCAGCCATATTTAATTGCAGAACAATCAGACGTGTATTGTCCCCAACTTGTAAAGGGTTGAGTACCACAGCGGATATCAATGTCCACCAAATAAATTGGAGAATTGATAGTCTGCGGTTTTCCCCCATCTCTTTCGCTTAGATACCTAAAACTATTTTTATTCTATTGGATGATATCGAACGTATGCTTACCTTCAGCCATTCTTGGGAACCCTACCGTAGGACATCCGAGCCTAGATTAAATTAGCCTGTAATTTCGCAGCCATTGTATTAATCCAATCCCATATATCTCAACCTCCCACGACCATTATCTACCTACAATGCACTAGAATCCGTTTAGTCTACAACCCTCACTAGCTCACTCCTTTTATCTAGCGTCTTGCTTGTAGCTTCTATTTTGATTGGACTCCTTTTTTCATCTACTCCTTATAAGTTTCTCATACGCCCCTAATCAAGTAACACCGCATGGCACGTGCATAGACGAACAATTCTTAAAGCTTTTTTACGTCAAACACTATCTGTAAAATCAGCCTGCACCTCACCCTCGACCAGTTGATTTATTGTCGGTCCACTTCGGTAGTAATGTCTTGAAGGCTACTTCCCATCATATCAGTACCACCGCTCATCAATCTTTCTTGTCTGGTATTCTCCTATATCTACCCGCTCGAAAATAAGGCGTCAATATCGTGGCCAAGAGTTTCTGTTTCCTCTTTCTTTATCTAAAGTGTATCAGAACCATAAAAACTTTTCATTGGTTCACCATCAAGAGGAGAAGAGGGGTCTAAATTTAACCGTTCATGCAAGACGGAATGTCTGCTTATGTCATCATTCTCCTCAGTTAACGGGTTAATTCTTACACTGCATATACTGCCACAGCGAAGCTTTTTCTTTAGGTTTGGTTATTCCGAGATATAATAGACATTTGCTTAAGCGTTATACCGCAAAATCCTTTTGGCGCAACAATTCCTGGAAAACCGATCTGGTGGCCCACCAATGAGCACCATTTACCCAGCATTAAACCCACTATCAGACATCACTCTATTTATTCCGACTAATTATTATTGGAATAGCATTCCCCCATCACCCCCACCGGGTATTCTTTTCATAGGATATTTTTCAATATAATGCCTATCCACGTCATGTTTTGGTGACGGAAGTATCTCCCATCTGAATGGCATTTCAAACATTGAAAATCTTTGAATATGACGAAACCACTGATACAACTGATAGTAAAACGGCGTCGGCCGGGTTCCGGGACTAATTATAATAGGCCGGGCGTACCGGTTATCCCGAATGTCGACGTGTGCAAAAACGGTGAGAATCCTTTCGTCTCAATAATAGATGGATTCGTTCGATCAAGCACTTTTTGACTAATGTGCATGCAGTACGGGCAAAATTGTTGGCCAATTCGTAACGATCGTAGCGACACACCGGGGCCACCCATTTAGCAAAATCGGAGTCGGAGATTCAACTCAGCTACAGTGCAGAGTGGGAAAGTGACACAAAATCGCATACCGAATTTTTTCATACAAATAAAGAGGAGACACAATTAGATTAATAAATTTTCCAGAATAAATTGATTAGCGTTGTTTTATTAACCATTAATATATATTGAGTTTTCAGAGTAAATAAGGGTTTTACTCAGCTTTTATAATACAAGTACTACGTTGATGAAGATACCTACTAATTTAGCAGCAGAAAATCACCATGATAACACCCTTATAGAGCAAGCATGCGATTCATGCCGGAAAAGAAAACTAAAATGCTCTAAAGAGTCACCTAAGTGCTCGAAGTGTATTCAGCATAATTGGTGTTGTTCATATAGCCCACGTACAGTGAGGTCTCCATTAACCAGAGCTCATTTGACACAAGTGGAAAATAAGGTCAAATCGTTGGAAAATCTAATTACATACTTGTTACCTCAGGAGGTAAACTCGAGAGGAATTGACCAATTACTTTACCAGAACACGTTTAAGGACGTGTTGAGGCCTTATAGAGATTTGTTACAGAATGACAGTCCATCCAACAAAGAATTGGAACCTAGTAGTGAAAAGCAGTGTTGGAGCACGCCAGGTGCTGGTAGCGGCACGACTACTCCTCCTGCATTCGAAGAAGGCCTTGATCAACTGGGTTCGGTGACCCCTCAAGAGTACTCTCCTGGCAAGCCAGAGCAGTCAAGGCTAAACTCCAACGGGTGTAACTCGTTGGCCCAGTCACCATCGTACTCGATCTTTTCGATGGATGATTCGACTTCCAATGCTTCAATAGACCACTCCGACCATAACGACCACAACAGAATTGACAATGATAAAATCAAGCAAGAAATAATCGACGATTTCATACTAAATAGCATCCCCACCGATAACAAACGCAACCAATGTCAGTTTATAACCCCTTCGGTTATAAAGCACGAATACTCCCCATACCCATACCAACAACAACCACGTCCCAAGAACATTTCGAACACCACAACATCTGCGACATCACTCACATCCCCATCGTCTCTTCTTTCACTTAATTCTTACTGCGACAATATAAACGAAGACGAAGAAATACCTAAGAAGTCCTACTCTTCATCTGCTAGGCTGCCCGCTAATAAAAAGTTTGAAGATCTCGATCTTTTGATTTCATCAAACGGTATCAATGATACTAACTATAACTTGATATTCGATGAAGTTATGGATGACTCACCCATGATTAATGGGTGAAGGATAATGCCTGGCTGTGATTATTTACTTCTCGGGTCTGGTTTGTACGTCTAAGAATATTGTGAACAATATTAGCTTTATGTGTCAATGATTTATTTTGTTTCTGCGTCAATTTTCGTCTTATATACGGTTTATGTTATATATGATTGATTTAATAATAAACAAGTTTTAATGAACATGGTTGACTATCAAATGGATGCAAATGAGTCGCAATCCAGAAACTTAAATTTGTGACGGTCGTGTGAATTTCCAATAATGTCCTTCTCTTAATTTCCGATATCGCTATCCATCAGATTAATTATATTTGTTTATCTACTACTCTTGCCAGTTACGTCAAGATAAAGGAGAAGTAACTGGAAATATATATATTCATTCGATCAATATGAGGTCCCAGACGATGAAGAACTTGATTTCTTTGAAAAAGAATATCACTAGAAGAATTAAACAAACCCTTGAGGAAATAGCAGAGAATTTAAGTCATCCACAGCAAAGCCCAGCCCCAGTTCCAATACCTATACCAGTAAGAAGCGGTAGGAATGTTAATAGATTAAACAAACAATTTGCTAGATATTATAGCACGTCTAATAACTTCGCAAGTGGTCATTATAAGTTCCGGGCATTCCAGTTTTTAAATATGAAGTACTCCAACAGCGGGAAGTTGGGGAGGATAATCCAGAATAATTCGAACTGGATAAGGTTTAATATTCAGAATTCCAACTTCAACCAATATAGATCGCTTAGAACGTTTCATAAGTCATTCCTTTACAATAACTTTTCGCAGAGGTACCAATCACAGTTTGGTAACAAAATGGCGAACATGAACTTTTTCAGACATCCTAATAGTGGCTCACCTATAAAAAATCTAAATCTAAATATCAGGGCATTCATGAACTCTAAGAAGTTCGATACATCTGATCATAGCATGTATAAACAAGACGTGGTATTGCATCAAAAACCACAGGTTAAGAGCAACATACGTCTTAACGTGTCTTTGACTCCAAAGTTCTCTGAACTCACATTGCTGATGGCAAGAACTGTCTCCTCTGCTGGTTGTGAGGAGACATCTCATAACACGCAGGTGTCGAATGGCTGCTACGTTGATTTCCCAATGAGTAGCAAATTTTCCATTCCATCGATGACAATCTTGAATAATGAAATACTTGACGAATTAATGCTAGACTTAAAGATTCTTGAATCTAGAATTGCCGAATTGAAACTGGATTTGCAGGGTTTGTTTGAGTTGGGAGAGTTACCTATGAAGTATTTACACGATCAAAATATTCTTAGGGTCTACTTTGCTAATTGCGATAAGGCAAGATTAGAAGGCTTGTTGAGGGAAAAGAATATCAAGAATGGGATAATTTATGAGGAAGCTGTTGAAGGATGTTCCTCAACTAGCGCAAATGTCTCCGAGGCTGATATCTTAAGTTCGTATTACGGCTCGTCTTCTTCACATGGCTCGACTACAGAATATGACGATGATATATTGTCGGACTCTTCCCATCATCCGTTGTCGAGCGACAACATCATCAGAATAGAAAGTGGAGATCAATCTCAAAACTCGCAACATGTTAGCTTTAGCGAAGAGGATATATGTTGGGTTTGATTGCAGGTTCGATTATACGAGTTATATATTGCACTTTTTTTACGACTTTGTTTATGTTAACGTTTAATGGTTATTTATATTATGTTCCTAGCGATTTTGATAGTGTAGACTGTGTGATATAAAGTATGCCGTGGTTACGGTATATTCAATTGAACATCCCCCCTCTACATCCCACAGATAAAGAAAATTGATATTAAAAAGGGTATTACCAGTTGTATACATTTGTCTAAATTCTACACATGTTCTTACCTAAAAAGATTAAAGAATTAATAGTATATGACACTAGGAATCTAATATATTAACTCTAACATTAATATACAAGCAGATCGTAACACTAATACATATTCAAATTTCCAATTCTGTGCGAACTACAGAAACAGCGGAACGTTCGCTTTGACTTTTTGTAAACAATATCACGTAGTTAATATCACTGATATCGATTAAACATTAAAGAATATTCATAATGCCTCCTTCGGATGATGAATTTCAAGATGCTACTTCGAGTACTTTTTATACTGCAAGTGAAATAGATAATAGTAAAGAGGCTCCTGTTATCACGAATCAATCAACTAAGAATAAGAAGAAGAAGAATAAAAAGAAGAATAAAAAGCAACAACAAAATGAAGATGCCTCGGTATCTTCTTTTACTGGTGAAAGCTCTACTTATGAAGAAAATAATGAAAGTAACGAACTTGTAAATAGAACTGAACAGGTTGATCTCAACAATAATGACAACTCCATAGATAAGCGCGGCAACGACGATACTATAACTGAAGATGCTGAAGACGTTAATAACCCCATTGGAAACGAAACAGAACAACTCAAGGTAGTATTACCTAATCCTGTGAAGGTAGCATCTCCAGATGCTTCGTTTACGGAAGAATCCCCAGATGATAAGCATAATTCTACGTTACCCAATGGAAAACCTACTTTGCCAAGCAGAAAGCCCATCCTGGAGTGTTTGAGATTGGACCAGCCTTCAGCTCAAATATTGGAAGGTACGAGTGAAACCACTAATGATAAGATGAATACTATTTCCAATAGTTATAGGAAAGAGAGTAATAATTTCTTGCTAGAGTCGAAATTCAACCAGTTAAATAGAGAATTCGAATCTAAAGACTTAAAGTTGAAAGAGCTGATTAACTCCGGTACCGAGAACATAAAGAAGACTTTCAATGACATTAAGAATACTGTTGGGGGGTTCAGTGAGATGTTTGATTATCAAATCGATTGGGATTTTTGGACGAGAATTGTAAACGATTATGAATCGGTCATCCAAAATGAATCTAATGAATTGAATAATCTTATAAATAAGGGTATTCCAAAAGAGTTCAGAGGCATTATTTGGCAATTAATTGCTAAATCTAAAAACTTCCAAATGGAAGAATTTTACTTCAACTTGAAGAGTGAATCATCAGTTCACGAAAAATCTATAAAGAGAGATTTAACAAGAACTAGTTTTTTCACGAATGTCGAACAAGTTAATAAGGGTGAAGAATTATTCAATGTTATTAAGGCATATTCTTTATTTGATCCTGATGTAGGTTATACTCAAGGTATGATTTTTATCACCGTTCCTTTGATAATGAATATGAGTGAATCAGAATGCTTCTGTTTATTGGTTACTTTGATGAAGGATTATAATTTAAGATCCTTATTCTGTCCAGAAATGAAAGGATTGCATTTATTACTATATGAATTTGATCGATTATTGGAGATTAACTTGCCAAATTTGTACAATCACTTGGTCAAACAAGGTATCAAATCTTCAATGTATGCGTCTCAATGGTTTTTAACATTTTTTGCCTACAAATTTCCGTTAGATATAGTATTAAGGATTTACGATATTCTCATCACCCAGGGTATTGAATCAATCTTAAAGTTTGCTGTTAACTTGATGATAAAGAACGAGTCGAATATTACTCTGCTCAAGTTTGATAAACTTTTAGACTTTTTGAAGAATAACTTGTTCAATGTTTACGTCAATGACGAATTTATTAACGGCGCCAACAGTACGAATAGTAGTCAGAACGACTTGACGGGGTCTGGAGTTTCAAGAAGATTTTCCTTGCTAGGCGGAAGAAGAAGCAGTACTGGTGGAGCTCGTTCAAAGTCCCATAACTACTACAAACTTAATGAATTGGTAGAGGACTCGATGCAAATTAATGTCGTTCCTTTAGACTTGAGTAAATTTGAAGCAGAGTTTGAAAACATATACTTAAACGAAAAATCAAAGGCTACCGAAATTGAAAGCTTAAGGATCGAAAATGGCAAATTAAGACATGACATTAAGCTCTTGGAGACTGACTTCGCCTCATTAAACAGAGATCACATAAATATTGTCCAAAAAATGGTCGATATAAAGGTCACCTTACCGGACATTGTCAACGACAACGAAGATCTCCAAAGATCTATTGCCGAGTTAAAGGAAAAAATAGAAGACTTGGAATCAAAGATAAATGCCGGTTCGGGTGATAATAACAGTTCAGAATCCAGTATAGGCCTACAAACCCCTGCATTACCAACAAATATAGAAAGCAATATTCAAGAATTATTAACTATAAATGCTCAAGAAACAGAAAGGTTCGCCAACTTAGAAGAAGAGTTGAGTAACTTGCATATGGAAGATGAAAGATTGGCATCAGAAGTACTGAACGTTAAACAGTCCAAATGGATATTTAATAGGTGGAAATAGAGTCTTATCAGAATACAAGATATCATATCATACGAAGTATATACGTTAACACCAACTTACTTACATAGCCATATATCACTTCAACAACCATCCATATCATCAAACGTGATAGTATAGGGCTATAACCCGAAAATATGGTCGCGCGAATACCAAATTTTGTTGATCGCTCTTGCGTCAAATTTTCACTAGTATATAGTGAAAAAAAATTGAGTACTAATTATATAGAAATAATTATTCACTATCAATAAACTAGAGCAAAAATGGGTAGAGGTCCAAAGAAGCACTTGAAGAGATTAGCAGCACCATCCCACTGGATGTTGGACAAATTGTCCGGTACTTACGCCCCAAGACCATCTGCTGGTCCTCACAAATTGAGAGAATCTTTACCATTGGTTATTTTCTTAAGAAACAGACTTAAGTATGCCTTAAACGGTAGAGAAGTCAAGGCTATCTTGATGCAAGAACACGTCAAGGTTGATGGTAAGGTCAGAACCGATGCTACTTTCCCAGCAGGTTTCATGGATGTCATCACTTTAGAAGCTACCAACGAACACTTCAGATTAATCTACGATGTCAAGGGTAGATTCACTGTTCACAGAATCACCGCTGAAGAAGCTTCTTACAAGTTAGCTAAGGTCAAGAAGGTCCAATTAGGTAAGAGAGGTATTCCATACGTTGTCACCCACGATGGTAGAACTATCAGATACCCAGATCCATTGATCAGAGCCAACGATTCCGTCAAGGTTGACTTAGCTACCGGTAAAATCACCGACTTCATCAGCTTCGACACTGGTAGATTAGTTATGGTTACTGGTGGTCGTAACATGGGTAGAGTTGGTGTTATCACCCACAGAGAAAAGCACGAAGGTGGTTTCGATTTAGTCCACATCAAGGATTCCTTAGAAAACACTTTCGTCACCAGATTGACTAACGTCTTTGTCGTCGGTACTGAAGCTGGTAAGCCATACATTTCTTTACCAAAGGGTAAGGGTATTAAGTTATCTATCTCTGAAGAACGTGACAGAAGAAGAAACCAACAACTTAACTAATCATTTTCAATGATCGTAATATAGTTTATAGTTTTTTGTTACAATAAATGTAATATATTTTAAATCGGTTGTAGAGTACCTTAATGGTTAGCACTAAATTGCGAACCTCAGATATTACAAATCTGTGCAACAGAATACGGATATTTTATTCTGCCCATAAACATTGGATAACATGATTGAATATAAGACGAGGTATCAACATGGTTTAGTTGGATTGGGATTTGTTTTCGTTATATTTTTGTTTTCTAATTCATGGTTTCAATCAAGTAAACAACAGAATTCAGATTCGTCATTGATAAGGAATTTAGAGTGGAATGATATAAACTTTATACACACAACTGATACACACGGCTGGTATTCTGGTCATCTTAACCAGAAACAGTACAATGCAAATTGGGGGCATTTCATATCATTTACTAGTCATTTAAGGAATATAGCTCACTCAAAGAAGCAAGATTTTTTGTTGGTAGATACTGGTGATAAGCACGATGGGAATGGACTCTCGGATGTAACTATACCCAATGGTGCTGAATCTTTACCAATATTTATGAAGCAGGACTACGATTTACTTACTATTGGAAACCACGAATTATATACCTTGGAAAACTCCCAGCAAGAATATGATTTAGTCCGTAAACACTTTAAATCTAACTATGTAAGTACGAATGTGGAATACAAATTACAGAATGGTACATTTGTGCCAATGGGTCAAAGATACAAGTATTTTATGACACCCATGCAGAAAATTAGAATATTAGCATTTGCATTCTTGTTTGATTTTACAAGATATAATTCTGGAACCAAAGTTGAACCAATTATGAAAGTTCTAGACGAGGATTGGTTCAAGGATATTTTAATTGATCACCCTGCTGATGAAGTTGATTTACTTGTGATATTTGGTCATATTCCTGTAACCCATAATGATGAAGAGTTGTTTCAATTACATCTGTTCTTGAGAAAATATTACCCCAAGACCAAAATCCAATATTTCGGTGGGCATTCGCATATAAGAGATTTCAGTGTTTATGATGATTATCTGACCGGCTTGCAAAGTGGAAGGTTCTGTGAAACTGCGGGTTGGTTAAGTATTAATTTAAACCCTACCGGGAATGATTTGAAAGGGGTAGACAAGGTTGAAAGCACATTTTCAAGATCCTACATTGATTTTAATTTAGAATCATTTATGTACCATACAAATATCAGCTCTAGTGAAGAGTTTAATACTGAACTTGGGTTGAATGTCTCCAGACATATTAATGAAGTCCGAAGGGAATTAAACTTAGAAGAAATAATCGGCTTTGTTAGAAATAGTAATTACTTCATGGATTATGTTTCCATACAGAATCCTAAAAGCATTTTTAAGCTCTTAACAGATAAAGTATTACCCACATTAGAGGTTGGTAACCAAAATATAACAACTTCAGATCAGAGATTAATTATAATTAATACTGGCTCAATAAGATATGACCTCTACAAAGGTCCATATACATTGGATTCCCAGTATATAATCTCTCCCTTCGAAAATGATTGGGTCAAATTGACGTTGCCTAAGCATATAGCTATAAGGATAGCTCCCAAGTTAAATGAATGGCTGTATATTATTCGTTCTGCAAACGATAACACATTGGACAACAGAAGGCTATTACCTGAGCATCAATATTCCAGACTCCTTAAGGATTATTCGTCTTCCAAAAACTTTGCAAAGTATTCGGAGCAGCATTATTTCAAAAATCAAATTCCTGAAAGATTTCAAGAAATAGGTGAATTAAAGTCTGCCTCTAGAAAAAGTAGGTTGTCCAAGGGCTATGTCACGCATGATGATTTTGGTCACGATGGTGATGACACCTTACATAGGCCAGTAGTAAATCACCCTATTCCAAATGTTGTGCAATCAAAAGAATTATTCGATTCTGATGAAGACTCGCCCGTCGATGTTGTTTTTTACAGTTTTATTACTCCAAATGTATTATGGGCATTAAAGGAAATTGGGTTTGATGAAGACGTCAGTACACGAATCGAGTTCTATTCTAAACACTATTTGGGTTTATTATTAAATGAGTATATTAGAAATCATGATATATAGTCAATTCTATATAATGGTACAAATGCTTTTTCTTTATATTAAATTTGAATCACACTATCATCAGGTTTGTATGTAAATCTGTAGTTGTAACTATTAATAGACTCGCTATCAGGGTTATTCAAAATAGACTCGTCCACTATCAAATTTAAGTTAAACCCAAACCATGATCCCCAGATAGGTCTTCCCTTAATAGTAGTATTATTTATAGGATGTATCAAATCGGATGTTTCTCCAAGTCTGTTTCTACCACTTTCATCAAACTTGACTTTACCACTGGCATTTATGACAAATGTTCCTGTGCCTGGTATTAAGTGACTGTCAAAACTATTCAATTGGTGGAAAGTCAATGGCGATAACAACCATTTTTTTTGAAATTCCAATTTTGCATCATTATTTGTGGGTATCAATGGTTTTCCATTTATAATAATTGCACATTGCGGTTTGAGTTGTGTTCCAAATTGCGTAGCATATGCTTCAACATTTGGAAATTGCTGTGATGGTCCTTGATATTGTATGTCTAACGATGACAATAACTTTTTCAAGTATGGTTCTATCGGTTGTGCTTTTCGAAAGTTAGTATAAATCCTTAGACATTAAAAAATATTTCCAGCTAAAATAGGTACTCACTTGGATCACGTTGTATATTTGACATATTTCAACAATTATACCTTAGCAGCACAAATCTAGGTAAATGATTGGAATCTTTACGGTTAAGTACTGTAAGTCAAAAAAATTCAAGATCTGTGGTGATGGTTATATTGTATCACGTGATCATTCTTGAAATGGTAACAAGGGCTCATACGATAGCAATAACTGCAAACTATAAGAAGGGCCATCTTCGAACATATTTGGATTTCTTTAATATCATAGAATACAATTCAAATTATACAATTAATACAAAATGGGAGGTGACGATCATCATAAATTAGACGAAGCTAAGAATATTGCTACTGGAGTTGCAGGTGGTGTCGGTGGTGGCGCTATTGCGAACAAGTTAGGTTTAGGTCAAGTTGGAGGTATAGCTGGTTCCGTTGCAGGCTCGATTGGTGCTAACAAGGCTGAACACAAGGTTGAAGAAAAGAAGTAGATATATTGTGTGATTATTGTCCGTATAGTATAAGTAAAGAATAAAACGTTTAGTAACGAATCTATGTAAGTGAATTGGGGGTTGTCCGCATCTTCGATTCGTCCCAAAAAGGCCTAAATCCACTTGAATTGTTCGAGTGACTATTTAATGTCTTATCTTCGGTACCTAGGCTTTTTCTTATCGGTTTTGAATTGCTCGAACGAAACATCACTTCAATGCGTCGATCTGGTCTATGCCTCTTAGATAGTGATTTCGTGCAGTCCTCCTTCGATACATTGTGTGAACTGTCACATCCTAGAAAAGGATAAGCACGGAGGTGGCTTGTCATCCATTTCACGTGCATTCGCTCGCAGCACAATAGAATCAGCCAGGAACGAATGACTGCTTCGCTGAGAATTGGTCCTTAAATCAACACACGTAGATCTATAAAACCAGCCCATGGACCAGCTTTCTGTGGCTACTACTCATATTCTTAAAAACTCCTAATTAGTATAATGCCTGACGATAAATTAAATATGGCCAAAAACATTGGTGCCTCCATCGCTGGTTCAGTGGGTGGTGCCAAAGTAGCTGACAAGTTACACCTCGGTAACGCTGGTCATATGGCCACTAGTATTGCTGGAAGTATTGGTGCCAATAATGCTTTGCACCATTTCGAAAACAAGGACGAGAAGAAATAGGAAACTAGTACGACTTTTGAAGAGGTGCACGCTATTTTGTATATCTATATATTCTAAATTAATAAATCATTATTTATTTTATTTTTACGCTACTAAAAGTTCTGTGCCATTAGTGCAGATGTGTTACTGCTTGTAGGTGTCTAAATCGGGATACATCTGGCTCCGAATCAAATGTAAGATTAGGTAAATATCCAACTCCAGAACCAGCGTTTCGCAATGCCAGGGTGCGTAGGTTCCATTCAGGAAATTTAGCCAGCATCGCACCACGTCCTAATCAGATCTGCTGCAGATAAATCCAAAAAAAGGCTGGTATCCCCTAAGTATGGCTGGGAATCAGGCCCGTTTAGTCCTAATAATCCTGGATCAGGTAACTTGCTGTGATCCATCTGTCTGTTATAAATATATTTGTTTCGTCCCTGGATCACTGCTCGTAGGCTTTTTGATTTATAAATTCATCTACAATCACTCATTAGTACTTTTCGTTCCCTTCGATCAATTGTTCATTCATTTACACATTCGTTCATTCATTCGTTACTACTATCGTTTATTCGTTGAATACTATATACTTGTATTACTTCGTCCACTACATTCGTTTAATCGTATAATAACTTCGCATTTCAATTTAATAGAGGTTATTGATTTTCGCATAATTTCAAATCAAAAGGAAAAAAAAAAATAAGCTCGTTGTTTAGGCGACAGGATCCAAGTCTAAATCCTATCGTTATTTACATTATATCAATTTCGGATATTTGCAACCATTTCATATACACACTATTATATGAATATTTTATTCATTTTCAACCAAGATTAATTACCCACTCATAACTATTATAAAATATAATGAGTGTATTGAATACAACTAACATGTTTAATAATCAACTTAATTCGTTTACTTCGGGACACATAAATTCCCGTAGCTATAATGAATTATCTAGTAAATTGAAGGCCAATATCAAAAGCAATAAGTTGTCGCAGCCATTGCAGCAATACTCGGAAAAAGATGCACACTATATCAAAAAAAGATCATACAGTGATTTATTAAGGGAGGGTTCCGATTTTGGTGACAATAACAGCATCAAGAATCAGGATACTAAGAGATCAAGAACCGCACCACCATCACCACCTTCGCAGCCATACGATACTAAATTTCAAGTCAATGGAGTTCCTCAACTCAAGTTTAAGAACATCAAAACAAACCCCACTTTGAGATCAAGGTCATTGTCTCCAAATAAGAAATTTGTTGCATGCTTATCACCATCACACTCCCCAAGCTTGCCTAATACTCCTCATTCGTCGCCATCAAAGAAGCCTACATTGCCTAGCATATCAACAGTATTACAAACTACTCCAATGACACCAAAAGCCCCTCTTAGGTTGAAGCCCATTACACCTACTGTTTCGTTGGACTATTTTGACACATACAAGCCAAATGATGAAAACTGGAGATATGGCTTATTGGATACCATAAATAAGGGTCCTAATCAATTTAACCTCAGCCAGTATGATTACCTCAATAAACACAAGATTAGCAGCACTTCATCGGCTCCATCAGCAGCATTTGTCAAGGAAAGACCAAGTTTCAATTCAAGAATAAGTTCTAAGATAATACAGAACTCCAGTCCAAGGGTCAACACGTTTGATAAGTCAAACTACCCTCCATGTATACAAGAAAAGGTTTACTCGGAGAGAAAAATTAATTTCCCATATGAATCCAATTACACATATTTGAATAAGACCTACTTGAATGATGTCAAGAAATATCCTGAATATCTTGAATTGGCACATTCATTGATTCAATTGTCCCAGCCACAATCTAATACTCCAGATTCTTCTCATTATCAACCAGTGACACCAGTGAATACCAGCAATAATAATTCATTCAATAGCACTATAATAGAACCCATCTATCAGCAAAATTCTGTGTATCCACCAACATCGACTCCTCCATCCTCAACACGTTTACCAAATCCACAATATAGTTCATTTTTAGGCATAATATCTGAAGGTCCTACAACCCCACCTGCAGAAGATGATAATAAGACTAAATTTATCCCTGTTACACCTCCTTCTTCCAAGTGCAAATCGAGGTCTGAATTGTTAAAATCATCACCAAGACAACAACATCAACATGCTCCTCGTGTTTGCATTTCATGTGGATCTGATCAATCCCCATGTTGGAGACCCTCTTGGTCAATTAAAGAAGGACAATTATGTAATTCATGTGGCTTAAGATACAAAAAAACCTCCGCTAGGTGTCTCAATGATGAATGCAAGAAAATACCTGCAAAAGGTGAGTGGTCCTTAATGCAAAGCAAAGGCAAATCTGTATTTGAAGACGGCTTGGAAGGATATAGCTGTTTAGATTGTGGCTGGAGAGTTGAAGTCAAAAAATAGTTGGCATTGCATTTATCTACTTGATAAACTTCTTTTTTATAACCATTTTTTATTAATTTGCATTGATTATTCATACCGAATATATTTTTATTCAATTCTCAGTAATATATATTACATAATGTTTAGTGTTATTTATACAATATTATAATTAATTAGTCGAAATGTACTTGTAAGGTGCAATTACTTATCGTTGGTGAAAACTCGCATACTATAAAAATTATTTTGCATTAATGATGTATTTTCAAAATGTTGCGAAATCTGCAACATATTATTTAATTAGCAGAACAGTATACATAATGTAGAATATAAATGTATATATAGGTATTTCTAAATTGAAAAGAAATGGATTTATAATACATAATTTTAAAGAATAAAGCAATAGAATATCTTTCATTTGTCAGATGCGGCCGTGCTACCCTATTAATTCGTCTTTTGAAGCAGACTTTTTTGAATTTTGCTTGAAGTGCTACGAAAAAGAAAGATACTTTTATGATATAATTTTCTTTCATCGTGACCAAAACAGAGACGTATTTCTGTTGACATCTATAGCAAATCAAAGAAAAGAGAAAATACTGGACATGAAAAGGGTTAACTTTCACCCATCGGTTGTCACAGGCTACATAGAATCGGCATGGCAGAACAGAGAGGAATTGGACGCTTATCATGAAGAATTGAATTTGCAGTATCCAGACATTTCAACAGAAGAAAGGAGTGAAAGAAGAAATGAGAACTACAGGAAAGCAATACAACGTGCTCTCAACAATGAATCGTATGATAAGTTCTTTATGGACTATCCTTCCGGACTATGTTACTTACCGTCCTATGTGGACTGTGACTGTGATTTAGGACTTGAAGTATATGCAATACGTAAGAAGATCAGTTTAGAACTATCGACAGCCCCACCTGTGTTCTCCCACATACATCCATTTGATGAAAACTTGACATTTTATTTCAACAGTTATCTAAACAGATCAATGGACGTAAGACCTATTAATAGTAAAAAAATCAAACACGGAAAAATAAAATCCTTACCTTCTACAAGAAGAAATGTTTTTTACATGCCCTTCGAGTTAGAAAGAAGACTTTGGGTCTACAGGATAGTGCAATTTCGGGATTGGAAGCTATCACATTCAAAAAATAATACTGATTTACCACCAGATGACAATGATGTTGGTATCTGTAAATACTCATACTTCTATGATCAGAAAGCATATCCCTCTAGATGTATAGAAGATCCTATGAAGTACTTCAAGTATTAGTCTAAGACAAGGTCGTTCACCAACCATCATATTATATGACTTCTAGAAACTTCTCACAATACGTATATTGATAACAATTCATAAATTAGAATTGTTCATACTATTGATTGCATTTATAGTATTTGTTTAAAAGTCATGTCTGATACAATTTCAATAACTATTAAGTCTTCAGGAGACACTAAGTATGAAGTTACAGTATCACCAACAATAACCGTTCTCGAATTGAAGAATGAAATTGCAGATAAGTCATCCGTTCCGGCAGATCGCCAGAGATTGATTTACTCAGGAAAAGTTTTGAAAGATACAGAGACAGTTGCTTCGTACAAGGTGCAAAGTGGACATACGATCCATCTTGTCAAAAGCGCCGGCCCTAAAACAAATGATACAGATAACAGAGGAGCCGCCTCCACAAACACTACTAGAACCGAGACCGAATCGACCGGTAATAACAGTGGCGTTCCATCAAATATTGCAGCAGGCCAAGGTTCATTTAATCCTTTAGCAGATTTAACTGGTGCACGTTATGCTGGGTACACTCAATTGCCTTCAGCATCAATGTTTGGTCCTGATGGAGGCATGAATTCCGCCATGCCAGATCCAGACCAGATGTCGGAAATGATGTCCAATCCTATGTTCCAAGAAAGCATGAATTCAATGTTGTCAAATCCTCAAATGTTAGATTATATGATAAATCAATCTCCTCAATTGAGAGCTATGGGTCCACAGGCGAGAGAAATGTTACAAAGTCCGCTTTTTAGGCAAATGATGTCGAACCCGGAAATGATGAGATCTATGATGCAAATGGGCAGAGGAGGAGCAGGCGGTTTCCCAAGCTTTGGTGGTCAAGAGGGAGCCGGCGCTTTCCCTGCACCAGGTGCCAACCCAACGGTTGATTCTAACGACAATACTAATTCTAACGTTAATACCACTGGTTCTACCAACGATAATGCCAATGCTAGTGGAAATGCCCCTGCTAATCCATTCGCTTCTATGTTTCCGGGAGGGATGCCCCCAATGGACCCATTCTCTTTACTAGGTGGAGCTGGTGCAGGTCAAACTGCTCCGCAAGATAACCGTCCACCTGAAGAGAGATACGAAGAACAATTAAGGCAATTAAACGATATGGGTTTTTTTGACTTTGATAGAAATGTTGCTGCTTTGAGAAGAAGTGGAGGTAGTGTTCAAGGTGCTGTTGAATATCTTTTGTCTAGTATTTAGAGATCTACTATAGTCAGAGGTTTTAGGTAGCTCATCAGTTTTGTGTAATTTTTAGTTTGTATGTGCAATCGTTATTCATAATTGACTAAACCATGATATAACAATATAAGGAAAACGTAATAAGTCTTTAAAATATATTGAATATAATATTTTGTATTGAACTATTCAATAATGGTCAGCGAAGATAAGGCTGCTGATATTAAAAAGGAGCGTAGTGATTCGATAACAAATTCAGAGACAGATGATGTGCATAATAAACATGAGGCAGTCGATACAAAAGAAGATATAATACGACTGGATAATAAGATAGGTGAAGAGAAAGATATCAATTCAAAAGGGAAAGAGGAGGAGAAAACAGATGTAAGTAAGAAACTGGATGACAATGAAGTTGAACCCAGTGATAATAAACAGAGTAGGCAAAATGAGAATGAAACGTCAAACGCCGACGAAGAAGTGGTGATCACAGAAACCAACAATGAAGAAAGAAAAGGAGTGCCAGTTAATACACTGATTAATGACGACGAAATAAATTCCGGGAAACCTCTAATTAATTTGCCAGACTTGGAAGTGCCATTTTCAGAGAGAAGGTTAACACCAGAAACAATTAATTTGTTAAACAAACCAGTAGACAGGAAACTAACAATTTCGGGAATAGAATTTCAATTTTCCAAGCTTATTGGAATAATATTAAAGTCCAAAGGGCTTGACTATTCTGATGATTTTCTCTCTCAAATGAGCGATTTGAGTATAACTTATTTCCATGACATTATAGAAACATTAAAGAAATTCACAGAGATACAGAGAAGAAAAAAGCCTTCCATAAGCGACACAGAATTATGCTTTAGAATGAAGGGTATTAAGCCTGATAAGTTGTACAAAGAATACGAAGAGACAAACCAAATCGCAAAGAAATATAAATCAGAGATTGGTCTTGTTAATAAACAAACTACGGAATTGATAAAAGAATTCAAAGAGGAGAATAAATTTGATGAAAATGACCCATCTCTTCTTTTCTTTACGAATGAGCACTACGAAATCACTGAATTAATACCAAAGCAATCTTCTAAGCCTATCTATATTCCATATTATTTGCCTGACCTTCCTCCGGACTATACGTACCAAAAGACTCCGAAGTACATGGACATGATCACGGATTTAAAACAGTTACGATTAAAGTTAGTTGATGAGTCTAGGTTGACAGAAAAATCTTTATATAACTTGATTGACGATGACGAAAAAAAATGGAAAGAAAACTTCGAGAAACAGATCCGTGACACATTACTGGAAGTTGATGAAGATGTAGATAGTGAAAACGAAAATAGTGTAATGAGTGAAACTGATCAGAAAAACCAGACAGATATAGAAACTCCAATTCCTGACAATCACTTAGACGAAAAAGAAACCAAACCACAACCAGCAGAATTGAATACGACTGTCGAAAACCTAGCGGAAGCTGGTAATGCAGATGAAGCATTACAGGATAAAAAAGAAACTCAGCCTACACATACTGAAGGTGAGCCACGAAAATTACTCCCAGATGTGAAGAGATTTGACTTTGTTGCATACGCTCAAAAGAGGAGTGATTTACAACGTAAGAAAGAGAATGAAATAGAGCGTAAAAGAAAATTACGAGAATCAAACATTTTCTTCGAGGCCGAGAAGTATTACTCCCCCTACGCTACTTTACCTGTGACACATGAGGTAGATTTATATTTTGCTAACATCGTGCATGATGAATTTATGTCTGTTATCAGGTCAGTGAGGACAGCAGAGAAGAAAAAGAAAAGAAAAGTCGAAAAGATTCTACGCGAAAAGGCCGAAAGAGAACAAGCTAAGGAGAAAGAAAGAGAAAAAATGGGTTTGGGCTTCAGTTTTGGCCCGATTAGTCATATGCTGGACGACGATAATGACGATAGCGACAAGGATGAAGATATGGGATTCCCAACGTTCGACTTCGGTGACAACAATGAAACACAAGACAACCATCCAACCGATATGAATCTAAATAGTAATTCCATTCCTGAGAACAATGAAACTGAACTAGGATCGACTATAAATGCAGATATAAATACTGCTGCTCATGCTAATTCGGACGAAGAAATGGATTCCGATTCCTTCGAAGCTGAATTAGAAGATGCTGTTCAGGTCGATTCTGCACCTAAAAATTCGCTTCTTGAAAATGATATAAAGACTTCTAATGAAATTCCGTCTGAGTCTAGCGATGACGAAGTAGAACTTGAAGATGTATAATAGGCATATCAATACATATCAATACAAGTACATAGACCTTTATCTATTCTCGTAAACTTGTAGATACCACGACGTCATGTGACCGAAGACCAAGCTAACTCATCGATACCTGGAATTTAACAACAAGTATTCGAGTTGACCAAGTAGAAGACATATCAATCAAATCAATCAGTATCAGAAGTGTACATATTTATACAACATACAAATCGATAGGCAATTCAATAATCACCATAAAAAAATGTCAGAATTGACCTCAATTACTTTGCCACAATCGGTTCCATTTCCAGTGACAGTAACATCCATTTTATGTAGGCAAGGAGAAACTGTTCCTAAGCATCAAACACTATTCAAATATAAGTATTGGGATTACCAAGATGACCCTAATTCTAAAGAAGAAATACCACCTAAGATTCGTGTGGAGCGTATTGGAACTTATGAGAGCCCAATTGAAGGAGAGGTGAGTAGTATAAATGTATCTGTGAGTGACGAAATTGCCCACAGCGGTGTTGAATTATGTTTTATTAAAGAGCCTTGCGCCCATGCCGTCCAATACGGGGGCCTATGTGCATTGTGCGGCAAAGCAGTGGAGGACGAGAAGGACTATTCAGGATATAATTACGAAGACAGGGCAACCATTTCTATGTCTCATGACAATACAGGATTGAAAATAAGTCTCGATGAAGCAACAAAAATTGAACATAGTACAACTGACAGATTAAGTCGTGAGAAGAAGTTGATTTTGGTTGTTGATTTAGATCAGACTGTAATTCATGCGACTGTTGACCCAACGGTCGGAGAGTGGCAACTGGACCCATCTAATCCAAACTATCCAGCAGTGAAAGACGTCAAAAGTTTCTGCTTGGAAGAAGACCCTATTGCGCCACCAGGGTGGACAGGACCCAAATTGGCTCCAACAAAATGTTGGTATTATGTTAAATTAAGGCCAGGATTGGAGGAGTTTTTGCGACTGGCATCAGATCTTTATGAAATGCATATATATACGATGGCTACGAGGAATTATGCATTAGCTATTGCGAAAATTATTGATCCCGAAGGAGAATATTTTGGTGATAGAATATTAAGTCGTGATGAAAGTGGATCCTTGACACATAAGAACTTGAAGAGACTTTTTCCAGTTGATCAATCTATGGTTGTAATAATCGATGACAGAGGCGATGTATGGCAATGGGAAAGCAACTTAATTAAAGTTGTCCCTTACGATTTCTTCGTTGGAATTGGTGATATTAATTCCAGCTTTTTACCGAAGAAGTTCGGTCAATTAACTGGTCCGACTAAGAAAAGAAAATCAATCGCCAAGCTAGAAGCTCTTGAAAATGAAAAGAATTCTACTGACGATGAAGAATCTGAGTCTAATGAAAACGATGATGAGGCTAATGAAGAGGATGATAGCACGAGCCAGGAAAATGACACTCCATCTTCGTCACCGGTGGATAGAATATTAGAAATGGGAGGCGGAGAAGACAATGCAAACTTACTTATGGAACAATCTATAAGTAGGAATATGTCGTTGGAACAACAACAACATGATAGACCTTTAGCAAAGTTACAGCATGATTTGGACAAAATTCATGAACACGATTCGCATTCTGCATCTGGTTCAAGCTCACCAGAAGAAAGCGATGGTGATAAAAAAGAAGATGAGGACGAGGAAGAAGAAAATTTATTGTACGATGATGATAATGAGTTGTACACATTAAAAAAGGCATTAGTCAGAATACATTCAGAATATTACAAAATATTGGATGCAAACAAAATAAAAAGTCCGCATTTAAAGCCAGATTTAACTCATATTATTCCATTTTTAAAGAGTAAATGCTTAGAAGGTATAACAATTCTATTCTCTGGGATTTTGCCATTAGGTATAAACTTGGACACTGCTGATATTGTTATTTGGTGCAAACAGTTTGGTGTCAAGGTAGTGAATGAAGTTTATCCGGAGGTGACACATGTTGTATGTAGGGATCCGAATGCAAATTCATTTAAGTCAGGTCCAACGTTCAAAGTGAGGGTTGCAAAAAAGATTTTACCGAATGTGAAAATTGTGAACCCAGATTGGCTATTTGCTTGTTTGAGTGCCTGGAGCAAGGTAGATGAAACAGAATATTTAATCGGAAGCAACGAGGATAGTTGGTACCTAGAAGACAAGGATCTTAAAAAGTACCAAAAGGGATTAGAAGCCCAAAAACAAAAACAACTCAACACAATAGCGAGCAGACCAAGATTTGACTCTATCGGCTCAGTAGAAGAGTATGACTTGGATAATGCGAACCAAGAAGTCGATGATTTCTTGGCAGGAATAAGTGAAGATGAAAACTCTGAAAAGGATGATGATAACGATAATGACGACGACAACGAGAATGATGACACGGATAACGACAAAGCCGAAGTCAGTAAGCAGTTCGATTCATTTATTAAAGACGCATACAAAGCTAATAAAAAGAGAGTTCTAGAGGTTGACGAAGACACTTCCTCGTATCAAGATGCTACATCTAAGAAACAAAAGACTAACCAAGACCAACCAGAGAGTGATGTGGACTTAGACGAACTCGAAAAGGAACTCTTGGATGGTTTCGATGACATGGAAGAAACCAACGCATGAATGTTCCTTTATTGTATATTTCAATTCTGTAGTATAGGCTAATATAAGTACTTTTATTCCAAATCAACTGTAATCGTAAATCACATTCTACCCCCAGAATGCTACATCAGGACTTAATTTGCTTAGCGGAATCACTTACGATATTTACGCGACCCCTTTCTGCTCAAAAAACAAGTATGCCGCACATGCAGATCAATAAGCCAGCAATTTTCTTCACACAAACATAGCCAGCCACCAAGACACTTCAATCCATGACGATTTGATCCGATCTATGCGGATGTACGAGTCTGCTTAGTTTGTATAGTATATATATTTAAGGTCGGCCAAAAAATAAAATCCCTGGACTAGATCATTAAGTTTATATTTAGAAGCAGTTACTCGAATACTATAAAGAGTGGGTGCGACGGTTTGAATATAAAATATCTGTGTAAATAATATTCTATTAATATTCTATTAGAACATATATCGACAGGAAAATTGAATTATAAAAGGATAATGTTTAGAATTTTCAGACTCATAATTATCGTACTTTCCATAGCTACTACAGTTTTGTCAATATTTGCGTTAGTTGGTTCCTACAAGAATGAAGCGTATTTGACCAAGATATATTTATTAGATTTCCATCTTACTGACTTAGATGTATCGAAGCTTATAGATTTCAATGGATTCTCCAAGAGAGATACAATACAGCCAGATAAGACCTTAACAGAGAAAGACCTTGCTAGCAGTATATCGGATATCCTGTCGACTATTAGTGATATCGTGAGCTCGATAACTTATAAAGATATGGGCTTGTCACAAGTGTATTCGATTAGTTTGTGGGGTTACTGTAAGGGAGAAGTCAAAGGCAGTTCTGACACGGAAAAGGGCTTTGATAATTCGAATATCAATTTTACGTGGTGTTCTGATCCTAAACCTGCCTTTTACTTCGATCCGCTAAAAATTATCAAGCACGAATTGAATAATACTATTAATGACAAAGTCACGGGTGCTACGGGTAATACTGAAATTTCATCTGACATTAGAACCGTATTGGAAGAAATTGTCAATAATATTACATATGAAACTTTGAATTTGCCAGGTAACTTAAACAAGCAACTTACACTCTTGAATAATTTGACCAAGGCTGCATTTGCATTGATATTAATTATGGCTGTTTTGTCAGCCGTAGGTGTATTTATTCAATTTATTGGATGTTGCGTGGACCCAAGCAATTGCTGTCTCTCATGTATCAACTTCCTCTTTCAAACATTGATATTTCTCACTGGTATCATTGGGGCAGGAATAGCAACCGGTGCTTACATATATGTGAAGCAACAAATTAATGATAATACAGGGGACCTTGGTATTAAGTCATTCTTATCGATTGCATTCTATGCATTGATATGGTCCGCAGTTGTTGCAGCCTTGTTAGTACTTATTTTCTCGTTAATCGGACACTGCTGTGGCTGTTTAACTGGTGACAGAAAGAAATACAAGCCACTTGACGCTCCTGCTGTACCTGAAAAAGATGGCTACGAAATGGGATATAATCACCATCAAAACTTTTAGATAACGATTCTCGTTAATCTAACATAACATAAGAAATCGTTAATGATTTCAAAACCTAAGCCATTGGCTATTCTCTGCATTCTTACGTTACATTATACTTCTTCTTTTACATTAAATCAAATATATGCCATCATGATCTTATTACGAGTAGTGGGAAAACCAATTAATGTAAACTCTCATCTCATATAAACAAGATACAAGTTTTAGTTATCTAGTAATCGATTAACCAGTATATAATTATAGGATGATTTGTTCAAGTATGTATAATTCAATTTGAATGATGGAAATCAGAAATTCAGTTACTAACTTCAATCTAGTTTCTGGTGAGGCGCCGAAGGAGCCAGTTATTTCACCAAAGAGTGGATTGATCTTTGAGAGAAGACTTATCGAGAATTATATATCTACCAGCGGTAAAGATCCAGTTAATGATGAGGATTTAACAATAGAAGAATTAGTTCCCATCAATAGCGTAACTTCGGCCATCGTACCACCAAAACCACCTAGTTTTAATTCCATACCTTCGCTATTATCGACCTTTCAAAATGAATGGGATTCCTTAGCATTGGAAGTCTTCGCATTGAGAAAACAGTTGCATAAAGCTCGAGAAGAGTTGAGTGCTGCTTTATACCACCATGATGCAGCAGTAAGGGTTGCAGCGAAGGCTATCAAAGAAAGAGACGAAGCTAGAGTGGCATTACAACAATTGGCAGTGTCTATCGGGAAGGATGAACCAATGGATGATGTAGTAGCAGAATCTACTTCAAATGGAGAAGCAAAAACTTCTGCTCAAATACCAGTTGAAATAATTAACCAGGCTCGCGATGAGTTATTCCAATTACATAAATCGCAGAAGCCAACTTTACCTATCACTCCTGAACAGAATATAACCGTAGATTTTATTGCAAATCATGCGCAACCGTACAAGAAAGCAGACAATTCTTTCTTGAATGCATCCGAAAAAATTCTCTTGATAGGATCATCTACGGGGTCTGTTGCTGTTTATGATTTTAAAAATCCTGGAAAAAACAATATTACAAAAATCACGCATAAGGGATCGGTAACGGCGTTGAATCAAATCACATATAAAGACGAACAAGTTCCTATAATTGCTTATAAGGAAAAGCTTGTTGTTAAAGATAACAAGACCATATTCAATCACAGCCACGACGGAGAGATTTTCCAGGTAGTCTCTCATCCAACGTTAACTAACCTTTTCATTTTACTCTCGCGTGATGGGACTTGGTCTTTGAATGACCTTGAAGGGATGGCTGTTTTATTCCGTTCGTCTGAAGCAAAAAATATTTCTTGTGGTGATATCCACGTAGATGGTGCTCTTTTGGGTACTGGTACTAAAAATGGAGAAGTAATAATTTACAATTTGACAACCGGACAATCTGTATCTAATATTAAATCCAAATACTTAAATATTAAAAAACTTTTATTTGCATCCAATGGATATTGGCTATTAGTTTCATCCTCGAACGACGAAAATGAAAGCTGCTTGGATATAATTGACTTGCGAAAGAATAACACTATTCATTCCATAAACTTTTCGCACGAATTGATTGACTTTGCAATTGATCCATCATCGTCAGTAATCATTACATATGATTCGAGGAATGTGATAAGCTTACATAGATTTATTAAAAAAGGCAAGAAATGGCTTGATAATTTGAGTGAAAAGAATATAGAGGATTCTAACTCTCCGTTATTAAGCTTAGATATATTAAGCACAGCTAATGACGAAGAATTCGAGAGCACTGGAGAGATGAGAGTTGTAGGAGTAACTCAGAATTCATCTATATTAGAGTTTCAATTAGCCTATTCATGATTTCAATGTAATATATATTCTACTTGTACTTTTCTTTTTCTGTATAGTAAATAGTGTTATTCGAAAAATAACGTAATATAATTTTGATAATATCGATCGTAGGATAATTTACCTGCACAAATTTATTATTGTATTATTATCTTCTTTTCTACTAGCACACAACAATCAATAATACTAATGATAGAATACTCAGAAGAGCAAATTAAATCCTTGAATAATTTGGTCGAAAAATGGGTATCGGTTGATATAAACCCAAAATCAAAAAAAGAGATAATTGAGCTCCAAAATGATGGGGATTATGCAAAATTGGATGAGAAGCTTTCCAAAAGAATTGCATTTGGCACTGCTGGATTGAGATCAGCAATGACTTCAGGTTTTGCGCATATGAATGATGTTACTATACTTCAGGCTTCTCAAGGGTTGATCAAATATTTACTTGAGGAAAATGAATCAAATAAGGACTTATCTATTGTAGTGGGTTATGATCATAGACATCATTCCCAGAGATTTGCAGAAATTACGGCCAGTGTAGCATTAACCCAAGGATTTAAAGTATATTACTTGGGATCAGTCACCAATCTATCTCAAGAATCAATTGAACTTTCAGAGACAAAATTTTTGGGGGGCGGAGAAACTGATAGAGGATATGTGCATACGCCATTAGTGCCTTTCGCTATTGACTACTTCAAAGCGTCAGCAGGAGTTATGGTAACCGCTTCTCACAATCCTGCGCAAGACAATGGTTATAAAGTCTATTATGGGAATGGTTGCCAAATAATACCCCCCAATGACATAGGAATAGCTCAGTGTATTGAAAGAAATTTGGATCCTTGGCTTAATCAAAATATATGGGATGTTGTGGGGAATTTTAAAAAAAATAAAGACTTGTTATTCGGAGTAAAAGAGAAGGCAACAGAGATGTACATTAAGTCAGTTTATGAGCTTTTAATACAAAACAAGAAGTTGAGTTATGATTTCACTTATACTCCCATGCATGGTGTTGGAATGGAAATTTTCAATCAAGTCATTTCTTTATTTGATACTAAATCCGAAATTAAACCAGTGACAGAGCAAATGAGTCCAGATCCAGAATTTCTGACCGTGAAGTTTCCTAATCCAGAAGAGAAGGGTGCTTTAGATCTATCAATTAAGAATGCAAATGAACTGGATCATAAATTAGTTCTTGCTAACGATCCAGATGCGGACAGGTTTAGTGTTGCAATAAAAACACATAAGACGAATGAATGGGTTCAGTTAACAGGAAATGAAATTGGTTTCTTGTTTGCAATGTATGTGATTGAGGAATTAACCCCAAAAAATAAGCTTGATAATACTTACTTGATTAATTCTACGGTATCATCACAAATTTTAGCATCAATGGCGCAACACCATGGATTTAACTTTATTGATACCTTAACCGGATTCAAATGGATAGGTAATAAGGCTATCGATTTGAAGAAAGAAGGATTCAACGTACCTTTTGGTTACGAGGAGGCTATTGGCTTTATGTTTGGTGTAGCTAATGATAAGGATGGTATTTCTGCACTAGTTATGTGGCTACAATTGTATGAAGCTTGGTTTGCAAACAAAGAGAACTACGATCCGGTGGACAAATTGAATGACGGTTATAAAAAATATGGTTGGTACAAAGAAGCAAATGGTTACTATAAGCTTAACGATTTATCGATGACCCAGAAAATATTTGATAGCACTATTCGTAAATCATTTGAAGGTAAGCCTTATCCAGAGACTCTAGGAGAGTCGTTTTTAGTTGATTCATGGAGAGATTTGACTATAGGATATGACTCGCTGACTTCCAACAATAAGCCTGTTTTGCCCGTCGATCCTACTTCACAGATGATTACTGCCATTTTGAAACCAAAAGATGCATTTTCAGATCATGAGTTAGTGAGATTTACTTGTCGTGGCTCAGGAACTGAGCCTAAGTTAAAGATCTACATTGAAGGAAAATCTGATATTTGTGAAGATAGGGCATTATCTCTTGCTAAGCTTTGTTGGAATACTTTGAAAGCAGAATGGTTTAAGCCCGAAGAAAATGGTTTGCAAGAAGTTATATAGATACTACATATAGAATATTTATATACACGTGCGAGATTTTCATCGCGAGAGTATTGACGACTACTTGGAAAGAATTCAGATCATGTATAAGTACTGTGTTCATTCCTTCAATATTACATTGGATAGAAAATATACATCATTGGACATTGAATATAAATTTTAGGAAATGGTGCTAGATGACTACGGTAAAAAAACCGATCTTCCTATGTATGTATTTTATGAAAATGAATTTTAATTGAATGATTGAACGTGTATATTAACAGACGTTAAGGCATAACAAGTTTAACCCGAGAAGATCTAATCCGCGGTCGTTATACAAGAAGATAGCAATTGGGCTTGTTTCTGTGATATTTATTTGGATATTATTTTTCCGATCTAATTTCTCTAGTCAAACTGTACCTCAGGTAAATAGTCAGACAGACCCTGAAAATGACTATGAATTATATCATGCCACCAAAGATGGAATACAAAAACAAGACATAACAGGATTAAAAAGTGAGGAGGAAATATACAAGGAAACTGTAGATTATTACGATCTTGATGATTACAAAGGATCGCCAGATGGGTTGTCTCAGGGAGACGTAGTATTATTTTTAATGCCATTGAGAAATGCAGAAAGTGTGCTTCCAATGGCGTTCCATAACTTAATGAATTTGACTTATGATCATTCATTAATAGACATAGCATTCTTGGTTTCCGATTGTTCTCCAGATGATCATACTTTGGAGACTGTTTTTGAATATTCTGTGGCTTTACAGAATGGTACTTTATTGGATAAATTACAACTAGGTGAACGCCAGAGACACGCTAATATAGTTAAGGGATCATCTGATTTATATCAATTATACATGGATCCAGATTATATGAATAATATAAAAAAGTCTTATAATCCTGAGACATTCCACGAAAACTATCGTAAGCCTTTTAGGTCAATATCCATCTTCAGGAAAGATTTTGGGCAAGTAATAGGACAAGGTTTCAGCGATAGACATGCTGTGAAAGTTCAAGGAATTCGTCGTAAATTGATGGGGAGAGCCAGAAATTGGTTGACTTCTAATGCATTAAAGTCATACCACTCCTGGGTTTATTGGAGAGATGTCGACATTGAAACTTGTCCAGGCTCAGTTATTCAAGACTTAATGAAACATGACTACGATGTCATGGTGCCGAATGTTTGGAGGCCATTACCTACATTCTTAGGTAATGAACAGCCGTATGATTTGAACTCTTGGGTTGAGTCTGAGGCTGCTCTAGAATTGGCAAAAACCTTAGATGAAGAAGATGTTATAGTCGAAGGTTATGCTGAATACCCTACCTGGCGAGTGCATCTAGCTTATATCAGAGATCCAAAGGGAGATCCAAATGAAATTGTTGACATTGACGGTGTAGGTGGTGTTTCAATTTTAGCGAGGGCTCGAATTTTCAGACAGGGTGTTCATTTCCCTGCATTTACATTTTTGAACCATGCAGAAACTGAAGCATTTGGCAAAATGGCCAAGTCCATGGGTTTCAAAGTTGGTGGTTTACCACATTATACTATTTGGCATATTTATGAACCTAGTGAAGACGATTTGCGAGAAATCGCTAAATTAGAAAGGAAGAAGAGAAGACAAAGAGCTAAATAACTTCATCGGATGAACCATATATGTATTGTATATGTATGTTAGCATTAACTAATTTAATCAAAACAGAATGTTAAAAATATCGCTAATCACGACTGTATTTCACGCTATGTTTAGTAGAACAAAACAAAATGAATATTTATGCAAAATAAAGGAATTTAAACATTGTCAGTAGGAAGGCAGGTTTTGTAATCTACGTATAACCGTATGGCTATACTCAGAGATTGTTCACATCCATGTTATTCATCATTAAAATATGTTAAAATTCCCTTCACGAGTCGAACCGAGCACTTGCCCAAATTAACCAACTAGCTAAATTTGCAGTGCACGACGACTGTGCCAACAAGGGCGAAAATCTCTTTTTGATTTAATTTCGTAAGCTCTATTAGTTTACATTAATAAACACTCAACTTATATAAATATATATTTAATTGTTCGATAATTTCTAAATCATGTAATTATACACAACCAACTCAATACAGAATACATTAGACCAACAGGATAAATTGCTAATAACACTCTTCCTGGTAATACACCTGAACATTTTAAACTCATGACCCCAGAATATACACTCCAAGCACCTAAAATTGCCATGATAATGATCCTAATCAATTTCCACTTAACAACTAAAGAACAAACAAGAGCACCACATGTAATTGGGAACATTGAGTAACCCGTAGCACTAATTGCAGACATAAAGGAAATATTCCCACCCAATAATTGAATATTCAAGCCGATAACAATAAAAAATAGCCATATAAAAGAAAACGAACCAGAAAATACCAGGTTTGTTTCACTTTTAGAGGCAGATAATCCAAGAGTTACGGAATATACTAACGAAAAAATCAACGGTCCCCATAAATCCCACTCTAAAGTAGTTTGGGAAAGTAATTCGTCACCAGTTACACCTGCTTCTCTATCCTCATCATCATCGTTTTGGTTTTCTGAAACCGATATTCTTCTCGCGTTTACTATCAGCAGGGGTAAATTGATTCCATTGTTACTAGCAAAGTCAATTAATCTCAGCTGCTGCTTGGCTGCTAAGCTAGCTAATTGCATTGGCCAAATTACTATTGCTAGCCTCCGCCCTATTTGTGATAAATCCCTCTTCAACGTGTTCCACACTGGTTCATCGAGTGTATCTCCTCCGCTATACTGGCGTTCCTTTATAGTGTTTGAATCTGTGAATGTCTTTGATTGTGTGAAAGGAGTGAATGTCGATGATAAATCAACTTTTGGGCCGAAAGAAAAAGATGAAAACATCGAATTAGTTGCATTAGCACCAGCATTATGGGAAGAAGTTGAAATTGGTGTATTCTCAGTTACATCTGCTTGAATTGTCTCATCTTCATCAGCACCTTGTGCAGAATATGATGGAGGATTATTGCTTCCGGACAGCATTGGCTTATATAATTGCTTTAATAGTGATTGAATAAAAAGCCTACAACTATGTACTGAAATCTGGATTTTCTCAAACGAAAGAGATATAACCTGTATATTGTATTACCTATGATATTTACACCTATTCTAAATAAGTATCGTTTCTAGACTATGCACGTAGCTTTTCAAGTCAAATGATTAGCTGCCTCTACTTTATCTTGCTCCAGAGTAAGATGCTTTACAACTCTAGCTGGAGAACCGACTACTATAGTATTGGCAGGAACATCTTTAGTGACCACAGCACCTGCTCCGACAATACTGTTTTCCCCAATCGTGACTCCCTGCAACACAACAGCATTTGCACCGAACCATACATTATCACCCACCGTAATTGGACCAGCTGATTCCTCGCCGGCTTTTCTTCTTTCCGGGTCGATCGCATGTGTAGGTGTGCAGAATGTAACATTGGGGCCACACAAACAGTTGTCGCCGAAAACAATCAAACAACAGTCAAGAAAGGTACAATTAAAGTTACTATAAAAGTTCTTGCCAAAACTGACGTTGAATCCATAATCGACAAAAAATGGAGCTTCAATAAAACTATTCTCTCCTACCCTGCCAAATATAGTTCTCAAGTACTTCTCTCTTGCTTCATAGTGTTTTTCTGGATCAAAATCGTAATTCTTCAATCTAATATCGGAGTAATCAATAGCTCTCTCGTGCGCTAAATTTCTTGCCATTAATAATTCATGGTCATTGCAATTGTAAGGAAGCTGCAGAATCATTTTCTCGTACTCTTTATTTCCCTTTGGGATTCCTTTCAAGTTTTTGTAAGCATAATCTACGACTTCTTGCTTGATAGATTCTTCTGTCATTCTCGGATTGACTACTAGCCTGTCTTGGTTCTTTCAAATAAGTTTAAGTTCATTCGATTAATGATTTCGTTAAATTCATCGCTATTTTATACTTGAATCTTTGCCAAGGTTTCGCGGAGAAACACTATCGGATAAAATACCTAATGAGGCACAATTTTATATATCATTACTGTATATCAAGTTAGGTACTTTTTTTATTCACCTGTCATCTACTTTCGTTGCTTCAAAATCATATTTACAGTTTATGTGTTGAGTCCGCCCATAAACAAAGTTTAACCAAAATCTATTTATATCTGTTATCGTCTTAAGAACAAGATTCTACTTTCAATAAAAAATACATAAAGTGCGATCTAAATAGTAATGAATCTATGTTTCTATACTTAATCATCAAAGTTGTTGAAACCTGGGTTACAGGTTCTAACAACGCCATCCTTTTGAGATAAGTTATTTAATGTCTTGAAATCTTCATCAGATAACTTGAATGTCTTCAAATTGGAGATAATTCTAGATTCAGTGACAGACTTTGGTAAGACAACTGTATCTCTTTGAATAGCCCAAGAGACCAAAACCTGAGCAGGTTCAACTTGGTATTTCTCGGCAATAGCAACAACTGTTTCGTTCTTGAATAATGGAGAGTTAGAAGAACCTAATGGAGAGTAAGCCTCAATTACGATATCGTTCTTCTTCAAATATTCAGTCAATTCAGGTTGGGTCAATAATGGGTGTGCTTCAATTTGATTAACGGCTGGCTTTACTGTGACCTCCTTATCAGATAATAACCTTTCAAGCTTCTTAACAGTAAAGTTAGAGACACCAATGGCCCTCGTTTTTCCACTAGCCTTTAATTTTTGCAATTCTTTATAAGTGTTCACGTAGTCCCAGTCGCTGTATGGTTCCTTGGTATCAGGCTTAACAGAAACCGGCCAGTGAATTAAGTATAAATCGACATAATCCAAACCCAATTTCTTCAAAGAGGTATTCAATGCTTCTTCAGCCTTCTTATGGTCTGCGTTCCATAATTTGGTTGTAACAAAGATCTCTTCTCTTGAAACCCCAGAATCCTTGATACCTCTGCCAACTTCTTCTTCGTTACCATAAATTGCAGCAGTATCAATGTGTCTGTAACCGTTCTGTAAAGCTGCCTTCACAGAGTTGTAAGCAGCATCCTTTTCAGTAGCTTGCCAAGTACCCAAACCAACAGCTGGGATTTTATCACCATTGTTCAATGTAATGTAATCGGTGTTGTTCTTTAAAGTAGCAGCCATTATTAATTGATCTTTGTTTTATTTTTTGTTAAATATATAATAAATTTTAAATTGATAGTCTATTAATAATATAAATTCACAATTTTCAGATAAATAGGTGATATTTGCCACTTATATACTTCAATTTCGTCTTACATCATTGCGGCATTAGGACAATATTTTTCGCGGAGCAAGCTGTGGATAGTTTATCAAAAGAATTCTGTCACATTCTCGGAAGTATTTGATTATTGCGTTTTATTGTTCTCGTTTACACAATCGAGCTATAATAATTTGGAAAGCCTTTTCTTACCAAAGCCATTCTGAATATTAATCTTGTGACTTGCGATTAGTAATACTGGATTTAAATTAGGTAATTCTATATACTCGAAAACGACTTTATTAATTTTATAAACTTTGGGCAATTAAACTTAACTACATAATATGTCTGTCTTAATGTATTCAATCATTTATTAAACCTACCGCTATACACAGGTACCCCTCTCAAAGTATAATTGAATTAAGGTTTTGTTACCACCACTTAGATGTACTGTACCTTATCAGCAAACTATTCAAGGATAACTGGACCGGATGCGTCTCGTTTGCCATTACAAAACTTAGCATCGAAGATACGTTCTACTTGGTCTATCAGCAGTGAAATTCCCCATATCTTTTAAACCCACCAATAGTGAATCCCTGATACCTTAGGTTTGCCAAGGTCACAGTCAATTCTTGATATAGATGGTATCCATTCCTAGCATTTATCACTAGGCTTTATATTGCAGCATATAAACATCATGCAGACGAGCAAGTCTGCCCAAATTTTTACAACTGTCATCAAATCATCCCAAAACATGTATATTGACACCGCTCTTCTCCTCCTATTGACAAGATAAACCATGCAGATCTCGCCAGCCCTTCGTCAACTATATTTGCTTCAGGATTGAGCCCGGAGAATTGTGATTTATTTGCAGCTCACAAATCTCTCCCCTATACAGTGATATCGCTGCCTTGTACATCGTCATTAATAAAAAAACTAATATGATAGCATTAAACACAGCCATAACGATGGCCAGTCTCATTATATATAAAGCTTTTACATATGTGTTTTTAACTTTATTATCTTCTTGCATTCTGTGTCTTGAAAATTAATAAAAACATGTTGATATTTTTAGTACTTTTTTTTGCCTCTTGTATTACATATAATTTATTTCTCAATAGCTAAAATTTGACCGCTTTCTCGCCGAGCAAGCTGTCAGTAAATCAGCCCAAATACTGGGAAGAACATGGAATTATTGCGTTATATTGCTTACATTTTACATAATCGAAATATAGAAATGTTTAATTGGAAGTCCTTTTCTTACGAAATAAACCATTTTTAATTCTCAGTCCCTGTGACTTTTTGCTGTTAGCCGAACTTATACTGCCTGATGCTGACACAGTTCTACTTAGGTTTGAATATTCCAACAGAGAATCATCTCCCTGGCTTGTGGCTTCGTTTTTCTTCTTGTGGTGGCCAAGATGGTGCAAAAAGCCATGCTTCTTCTTATTAGTCGAAGCTTCTGAAGCTAAAGTACTACTCGATCCCTCTTCTTTAAATTTTGTAAATAAACTCTTTCTTGTCATTAATTTAGGTTTATCAGTTTGTCTCTTGTCCAATTTTTGATCTTGGAGTCGCTTCAATTTTTCATCCTTAGCTGTCTTCAGTTTTAATTTTTCATCAATTTTTATCAGTCTGGTGATTCTCCTATCTAACTCCTTATTATTTTCAAATGAGGACATCTTAGATACCTTTAAGTCGGTTTTACTCTTGAATGGGCCAAAGTTCCTGAAACCTGTGTTCGATTTCGATTTTTCCAAGTCAACACTTCTTAATCCTAAGGTGCTTAAGGATGACGACGACATGTTAGACTTAATATGCTCCAAACCAGTTTCAGATTCATTCCCAGATAACAGAGGTGGTATTTTCCCTTTGGGCTGTGAACTTTCAACAGTTTGCTCTTCGTTCTTTCGCTTCTGCTGTTCGTCATACTTATTCTCCAATTCTTCGATGGCTATATTCAATTCAAGCTTACTCTGGTTAAAAACTTCACCCATATTCTTCACATTCGCTGACCTTAACATCAACTTTATATCTCTGCAGAGTGTTGCTGTTTCATATATCAACTCTATAGTATATTCAGACGGTAAAGGAGATTGAGGGCTTACTAATTGCTCTAGGGTAAGATTCAAGCTTTTAGATTTTTCTAATTCGCTTTCCTTTTCTTTTAGTTCTTGATCAAGTGCACTTTGGAATTGCATTTCTGCTCCAGATTTATCGAATATCGATTTTGCTCGAGGGCCAACATTTAATGACAGGTTATCTCTAGCATCTAAATAACCTATTTCAAAGTCATCTTCTTCACTATTGGAAGTGGATTTGTCAATAGAATCATCCGTCAATTGATCTTGAGTTTTAGTAGGAATATTTTTTTCTTGGTTGTATGGGATATTTGTTGATGATGTCTCATCAATTGGAACTTCTCTTAAAGACGTTGCGTTTTCATTGATATCATCGATGCTAATCGAATAACGAAACGATGATGCTGAGTTGAAAGATAGTTTATTCTTTTTACTACTCATTGCCGATGCAGAACTATCCTTATGGCTTGCTGATGACTTCTTTAATAATGTAATATCCAAAAACCCATCATCAATTGTGTCCATAAAACCCTCATATTCGTCCAAAGGAAACCTTAACGTTGAATCCTTCACTGAACCCGTCAAATTTAATAATTCGTTATATCTTTTTTTCAATTTATTACCTTCTCTAATGATAAATGACTCTTTCCTCCCAATAACACCAAATAAAACCTCACTAATTAAATCATACAACAACGGCACATCCAAAAATTTTGAAATTGCTAAATTATCCAATGTAACGGGCGATAAAAGCCATTTGTTACCAACTTGACCAGTATATAAATATTCACAGAATGCCTTGATCGAGCTGGTTGCAAATGGCATATAGAGCTTTCTTGGTATAAGTGATGGCTCCATTCTAAATCTCCCACCCTCTGTATTTTCAAAATCCAATAATGGGTTGTTAAAAAGAGAATCATTATTCCTTTCTTCGTATTCATGATCATCTTCACCTTTCGATGATATTCTATTGGAATCTTGTTGTATCGGTGTTAATGGAGAAAATCTCCTATCCTGACTAAATAATTCCAGCGATGTTATCGAAGAATTACTCGAGACTTTCTTATTTCTAGAAATTTCGTCTGTTATAGCTTCGGTAGTAGATGCTTTAAGTGGAAGAGCATCCGTGGAACTGCTTGGAGAAGTGTCTAATGACCTTGAGGGATGCTGGCTATTTCTGTTGACAGAAAAAGAGCTTTGTTTCAAATTTGGAATTGCTGAATTCAGTAGTTCATTCCCCATGGGTGCACCTGGACCAGATATTGATGCCCTAGGAGATGAAAATGGTGAACCTCTGGGGGATTTTGAAAGAGGTATATTCCTCAAAGCTGTTAATGTATACATAAGTGATGCTCTAGGGGAACCCAAATCCGCTGAATTCTTTCTTGATGAACTTCTAAATGATGATGAGGCTGGAACTGCCGGTATTGGTTCATTTGGTAATGGTAACTGAGCTGGGATATTTTGAAGATGTGAATTTAGCAAAGAATTATTGCTTGTAAATGAGCTAACTGATTCTTTGCGTGAAGACTCATACTGTTTATCGGCTATGTTCGATCGAGCAGACGAATCAATAAATTCTTTGCTATTGTTTGTTTCCGTCCCAATGATCGTTCCTTTGGACGGTGGATCAATCCATTCGTCTTGTTCTTTCTCTGGAATTGAATCATTTGCTAGCGATGAATCTTGAAAAGGAAGCCTAAACTGTGGCGGCTCTTTAGAATGCTTACTAGATGGTCCAGGGATAGATATGTGATATGAAGACTGGTGTCCTTTTTTGTTTGCACTATTTTGGTTAACACTGACTTCTGAATTGCTTGATGAGATCGAAGAACCAGCACCTGTACTCATTGAAGATCTTAACTTATTATGAATTTTACTTGAAGAATTCCTCCTATCTGATGTTAAAGACTCATTTTTCACGGAATCATTGTCTACGTCTTGATCCCGTTCAAATCTATCCACAGCATTGATATACCCTTTGGCTAATAACTGAATAAAATATCTACCCCATCTTTCCATTAATATTCTTAAGGACACCGGTATCCTATCGCCATTAGATGAAACAAATTCAAAATCAGAAATCAAATCACCATATCTGTCCATGGCATTTCTTCCTAAGGTAATAGCTGCTGGAGGAAAGACTGATCTAATGGTTGTGAACTTTGTCTTTGGTGCTACGTAATGAACATATTCGCTAAAGCTTATTGGTTGAGAAGCTTTATTACTAGAAGCAGAGACACTTGAACGCCTACGGAGCGTATCTTTTACCTTCTTTTCAACATCACTCAATGCGTCGGATGATGAATAAGCTGCTTCTTCTTCACTCAACCTATCCCTATTATTATCGTCAGTAGAGGAACTGTCATCCTTATAAAACATTTTCGTACCATCAGGACCATGGTAATGTCCACCCTCTAATTCCAAGCTTGCTAAAATATTTGTAATCGGTAAGCTTACTGTGATCATTAGCGTGAAAAACCGTATACTACTTGTAGTCCTAGATGTTAAATAATTACCGAGTAAGACAACCTTATGATGCGATTGCCATGCAAATCCACCCCAACATCTATGAGATCCATAATCATGATCACAAAAGAAATTTAATCTTGACCATTTACCTGTTGGTTTATTATATATGAAAACGGATATATCATTATCATTAGGTAAAAATCCTGTTATGACAATATTTTGACCAAACAATCCACCTGTAGGAAATTTCAAATTGTAAGGGACAGTATGGTTCGCTACCCTCTTAACTTCATTCTCTTGTATCGAATTTTCGTGCGTCAGCACCTTGTTATGTACTGGCAATATTTTACCCTCTTTTATGGTCTTTCCAACTTTAAATGATAGCAATGGGTTTATAGATTGGTTTTGTAACGAATCAACTTGCGAATATACTATTATTGATTCATCTCCTTCACTGGTACTAGTATAATCACTCAGGATAGCCTTATTTGTTGATCTAGTACTTGAATGAGGTTGATGATGAGACGGTTCCTTAATAAAACTAAGTATCGCATTATTAACATACTCAACATTGATTTTATAGTTCTCAGAAGTGACAATGCTGTTGACATTTCTATACCTCTGATTATTTTTCTTAGTCTCGAGGGTCAAATCAATCGGTGAAGAAACGTATTCTTTTGTTACAAGATCAAACACAAAATTGTCATATAACGATCTCGATTCATCATCTCTTCCACCTGCTATAAATATACCAAAATGATCTTTCTTGTTTGCAAATGACAAACTGCTCAACGTCGTCATCTTATGGCTAAATCTTGGTCTAGGTATACCAGCATTGCATTCATAATTGCTACCGTCATGAAGCATATGCCACTTCCGAGTTTCAAGGCTAAACTCCCATAAGTCATTACAGGGTACTAATTCTCTTTCATTCGTAACTTCTTGCGTGTAAGAGTCGTATTTCTCATTCACAACCAACCCACCAAATACATAAACGCAATTATTAACTGCAGCTATTTCATGAAAAACCCTAGGCTTCGGTTTCAATTCACCACTGGGTATATCCACCCTTGTCCAATACTTTTCGATCAAATCGAGATAAAAAAACTCTCCCGAAAGGTATTTATCGATCAGGTTGGACTTCAAATTCGATATCTTCAGATGAAAGACCTGCATCAACTCGTCTATATTCTCATCCCCTATATCCAATCCTATTGTGAGCCCCCCGTACGTGAATACCAATGACTTATAAAGAGTGGATGCCGAACCGGTCCTTACATTCAAGTTGAGTCGATCATCCTTTTCTGTCGGTGGCAATCGCAAATTATGACAACTGCTTGACGATGGTACTAGCGTAGGCATTTTCCCTTGTTTTCTGTCGGTCTAACGCCAAATCCTGATTATTGTGCTCCTGTTGCCTTCTACCTTTCTATAATTCCTCTTTTCGAGTATTTTGCTCTCTGACTATGAGAATGAACTGAACTAACTACAGATCTTATCGCAAATGAATATGCGGTGCTTCCAAATATTCTTTTAATGACTCCTCTGTGTTATCTTGACCTCTGTCTCGTCGTATAACAACTTTGGCTGTCCAAATGCCTAAATTACGGTGAACCTATATTCAGGCCCATATTGTCTTGCGGCGTAATCTATAGGGCGCAGACCATGGTAAATGTCGCATTCTTAAGTCCGACATTAGTTCAACTTTGCGACATTGTTCTCGTAAGAAAGGTTGACTGATATACCCACGACGGCTACTATCCTCTCCCCTCCTTTTCTTCAAAACACATCCTTACATCAAAAGTTTGAGGCACTACGTCATTTGCGGCTGGTTATGTGGCTGACTAGTCCCGAGGGTCATTGGTTGAGGCACGCCATGCCAGCCATTTTGCAGATGTCTTATTACGTAAGTTATTCTATACCGATTAGGAAAGCCATAAGCAAAAGAAGTTTCTTAATCGAGGAATTGGGTGTTCTCGGAAGTGGGTCGGAAATATATAGGGTTTGTATTATCAAGTCACTTGTCCCGGCATAAAACACGACCGAAAGTGCTAAATTTCACTTCGCTGGCGAATTCCGGTCGATCACGCTGCTCACCACTCACATTAGCGCCAACCCCCTAGATAGAAATTAGTATAAGGTGGACGATATTTGTTTCTTCTTTTCTAGTTAATATTCTTGGAATTAAGTACCAAAGCGACAATTACATCCATACAATTCAAACGTACGTAGGCCTTCCAATTGAAGAACAATTGAAGCAAGAATTACAATACTAACGACATAGCAGCAAGCAGTATTAAGTATGTCCGAAGTTGTTGAACAGAGGGCTAGCAATGGTGATAATGCTTCAGCCAAGACTAGTTCTTCCCAAAACACTAGATTAAAGAAATTGACCAGTGGGTCGGAATGGGTGTCTCCATTCAGAGAATCTGGACATTCGCAGAAGAACCTTCGTAAGCAATTAAAGGAAGATAACTCTATTAAGAATATACATGTTCCTAGCAAGTTTACGACACATCCTACGTTAGAAGCCCAGAAGAAGGAGAAGAAGGAGAAGGAAAAGGCGGCCAAATTGGAAAAGAAGAAGAAGGAAAAAGAAGCCAAGGAGAAGGAAGCAAAAGAAACGGCAGACAAGGAAGATGAAGAAGAAACCAAGGGTGTGACTTTGAAAAACACTGAGGTCGACCCTTTGAAAGCTGTTACCTTGAAAGATGACGAAGCTGAACCAAAGCTGTCGAAGGATGCATCTTTGCGTTCGTTGAAAGATGAACCAATTGACACACCTAAGGAGAGCGTGATCGGAGGTAGCAAGAATACCGAGGACCTTGAATATGGAGAAGATGTTTATGAAGATGACGTCAAAGGTGACAATGAATCAGAAAGACCATTGTCAGAAGCTGAGCAAGCTGAAATTGAAGACCAAGCTGACGGAGAGGCTGAAAAAGATAAGTCTGTGACTACTGGGGAAGCTTCTAAAGAATCTGAAACTGCTGCTAAGGATAAAGAGGTAAGTGGTTCTGATAATATTGAGCAAGAGGTCAAGGAAACACCAATTGAGCTTGTGACTCAACCAGGATCCAAATACGAACCTGTACCTTTACCTAATCAAGAAATCTTGGACAAATTAAAGGATAAGCCTAAATTATTAAGCCGTTACCAAGAATTGAATGCCGCTGCTGTTAGTTCTTTATCCCGTAGTCTCGATGACCCTAATAAAGTTGTTGAGTTAGGAAGTGGTTTAAGGATGACCCAACAGCAACTATTAGATATTGCTGCTAAAAGGGTTGCCCCTGTTATAACCAACATCAATGAGGAAGTCGCAAAGACCAGAGATGAAGATGAAATTAAGAGAAAGAAGGAATTGGATTCTAAGGTTGCAAGCCATGAGAAAAAGTTGCAAAAGGACTTTGATAAACACAAGAAGAAGCTTGAAAAGCAAAAGTCCAAATTCACTATTGATATTGGTAAAAAATTAGAAGATTTAAAGACAAAGATGAAGAATTCTGATTTAACTGCCGCAAACTTTGAGAAAGAAACAAGGAAGGAAGTTGATACAGCCAATGACGATTTCAAAGAGCGTGAAACTACTGCGGTTGAGAAACATGCCAAGGATAAAGATACCATTATTAAGAACCACGAAGAATTGGAAGCAACCAAGAAACAGGAATTAGAAGATGCAAAGGAGAAGCAAGAAAAGACAACCGAAGAAATTGAAGAATTACATGATAAGAAAACTGAATTAGATAACGCTAACTCAGAGTTGTCTACCAGAATTGAAGAGCTTACCGCCGAGTTAAATGAAAAAACCAAAGAATTAGATGACTTGAAATCTAAACATGCCACAAAAGAGGATGGTATTTCTAAAAACTTAGCTAGCAAAGAAGAGCTTGATAGCAAGATTGCAACCACTAAAAAGGAATTAGAAACTAAGAAAAAGCGTCATGACAAATTATCCGCTGAAGTTGGTGTCCTTGGTGGTGTTTTGGCTGCGTACGCAGCTAAGTTAACTAATTTAAAATCTGAAGCTTCCTCCCATGGCGAAAGGTTGACTGATGCAAAGAAGAAATATAAAGACTGGGAAGCTGAAAAAGATCAATTGGCTACCGAAATAGCCAGAGAACATGAACGTAAAAGGGTTACTGCACAAGAAGAAGCTGAAACCAGACGTGTGGAAGAAGAATTAGAAGAAAAGAGGTTACAAAAGGAAGCTGAAAGAAAAGAAGCTGAAGAAAGAGTAGCTGCTAAAGAGGAAGAAGAACGTAAATTGCAAGAATCACACGAGAAGGCTGAAGCTGAAAGATTAGCTAATGATCCTGAACACCAATTCATGTTGGCTAAGCAGAAGAGAGAATTAGATGGCCAAAGATTAGAAGATGAAAGAGCTGAGAAAGAACGTGTTTATAATGAGCACAAGAATAAGGAAGCAGACGAAGCTAAGAGATTGCAAGAAGAAATTGAAGAATTAAAGCAACAAAAGGCTCGTCACGAAGCTTCGTCTAGAGAAGAAGCAGACAAGTTGGCAGAAGCTAAGTTGTTGCAAATTGAACAGCTAAAGAAAGAACATGAAGAAAGAGTAAGATTGTTCAAAGAAAAGTTAGAATTTGAAGAATTACAAAAATCTAGACTCTTGGATGAAGTCGATAATTTGAACAAAATTAAGCAATTGAGGGAAGAGAAAGCTAGATTAACCTCTGAATTGAATAAGGAGGTTGATTTGAGTGACGTAAACAAACTAATTGAAGAGCGTGAACTTGAAGTTTCTAGATTAAGTAAACAGATCGAATTAGATAACTCTGATTTGAACAATTTTAAGTCTGCTCAGAAATCTGAACAACCAAAATCTTTGGAACAATCGAAGAACACCGCCGAGTCTGGAAAACCTTCCAAAGATTTGCATAATGCTCCTATCTTTGCGAATATTGGTGGCAGTTCGAAGAATCAAAGCATTGCCAATAAATCAGAACCCCTGAAATCAGTAAAGGATGACAGTACTTCTAACAACTCATCTCTGAAAAAGTCTGGAGCTCTTGCGACCGGCATTGCTTCTGTTGGTGTTGTTGGTGCTACAGGTGCCGGTACCGCTGCAGCTTTAAATGCTAAACATAATTCCAGGGATGTTTCAAATCTGAATGAAACTAAGAGTAGTGGAGGTGGTTTGAGTAAGCTCAAGAGTTTAACTAAAAGAATCAGAGGTAGTTCTGTTTCTGATGCAAACACTGAAGAACCAGCTGTTTCTAGTAAAGAGAAAAAAGCAAGCACAAGAAACGCAGCACCTGTGAATATTTCGAAGCAACCAGACGGGAAATCGACTAAGACGAAGGCTGTTCCATTGGCTGCACCATCTCAAAAGACTGATAATTATGCAGCAAGCCACTCAGATGCCTCCTCGGCATATGAAACGTACTCGGTATATGAAGAAGTTTCGGAAGCCGAATATCAAAAGAATTTGGGCAACCCAAACTATATGGAAATGACTGCTGAAGAATTTGAAAAGCATAGAAAAGCGGAAGATCTCTAGGGGATTCACGCGGCCTTGAGTTTCTAGCCTGTAATTTTCAATTGTACATTTAATGTATATAATTAATTGAATTTTTGATATTTTTTTTTATAATTTATTGTTACTGTCATTTTCTTCATTATTGTCTTATTGATATATTTTTTATATGTTAGTTTTATTTTGATCAATTGTATTACTGAATATATTGTTTTATACATTTTAATTTTTTGAAACGCCTTTCATCTGGCAATCAGATGTGCAGTATGTTCGTTACAGAAAAAATATGGATGTTTATATGATATTTTGAAATTATGTTGTAAATAATATTATATTATACATGGCTGATATTTGATTTAGTCAAAAGTAGTCTTTTTACCAGCTGAAGGAACAATAGCGGCACTGGCCCTTTGAGCTGTAGCCAACGCAACTGAAGACTTCTGTCTCTTGTTAGAACTATTTTCAGGTCTATCGAATTTTCTCTTGAATGGAGTTGCTTGTGGCTTAGTTCTTTCTCTGGTAGTAGAAACCAAAGGTGTAGAAGCCTGATATGATGGCTGCGGAACTGAATCCTGTTCTGAAGATTCACTCTCTCTATTTCTAGCAAATTTCTTGGGAGTTAACTTCGATCTATCTTCACCGTATTCTAATCTTAATGGCCTATTAATTAGCTTTTTGGATAATTTTGATTTCAAAGCAGTCGTAGGGCCCGATTCATCACGGAAATCAATAAAGGCAAACCCTTTACATTTGCCAGTATCCTCGAATGTAGCCATTCTAATCTTAACAATATCACCGCAATGTCTGAAATGTTCCTTTAACAAATCTTGGGTAGTATCAAACGATAAATTTCCAACAAATAAAATTCTAGATGGTGGGTTTTTAGATAATGGATTAGAATCCTTCTGAGGTCTCCCCTCAAAGGAATTGGCATTTTTAATTAATAAATTTCTGCCATTCAAATGTGATTCACTTAAGGAGATAACAGTATCAACATGCTTGGCACTCGGAAGATCAACGTAAGCAAACCCCTTTATTTTATTTTCTTTCTTTGGAATATTTATTCTTATGAAATCGCTTTCTTCAATTTTGACAAGCCCATCGTTGGCATCAGTATCATATGCATTTGTTTTCCCCATTATGAATCTGGTAAGATCTTCTTTTGTTGTATCAAATGATAAATTACCTATCCAAACACCATACTCTGATTTCTTAGGTTCCTTAGCATCTTCTATAAGTTGTTCTTCTTCTGTCAAGATAGGTTTTGGAGCTGGGTTTTTCTTTGCTAATTTTTCAAGGTTCAATTTACCCTTTTTCAACAAACGTTTTTGCTTCTTGGATAATGGAACACCAGCATTTAAGTCAATAGCTATTTCTTCATCATTTGCACCATCACTTTCTTCATCTTCAGTTTTCTTTTCCTTCTTTTCTTTCTTTTCTTTCTTTTCTTTCTTTTCCTTCTTTTCTTCCTTCCTCTCTTTCTTGTCCTTTTTAGACTCCTTCTTTATTTCTACTTCTTCCTTACTCATTTTGCTTATGTTTATCGTTGATAAGGTTTTGCTCTTCTCATCGCTATCAAAAATATTCATCAAATATATTTTTGAAGGGTCGTGTTTGACTAAAGAATTATTTTTCAGGTTTATACATATGTATTCCAAATACCTATTCTATATCCTACTGGCAGCTTTGAACTTAATCTTTAAACATTTAAAAACATTTAAAGACGGATATAACATATCAAGAAACGTATACTTTATTGTAGTTGAAAAAAATTATGTCATGCAATACTGATCATAGATCATAAAAAGTTGCAAAAAAATCAAAATAATGTAAATGCTTAATTTGAAATTGTAATCGCAAATAAGATATACACAGACACAATATACATTAAAGAGTGATAATTCATCGAAGTCTAAATTAAAAGTTATACAATGAATAATGAAATTAAAAATTTAAGCAAAACAAAACCCACAGTGGTGTAATATATGAATGTATACACTCTCCTTTAATTATCATCAATCATTTCCAGCCATAGCCATTTTCTCCACAATTCTCCAGACTCGTTAATAATATTATCCATGAAATCAATTTTATGATTATTCCTGGAGTCGTTTGATATAATATTGCTATTAACATCTGGTTCCTGTGGTTTGAAATGCTTGTACTTATTACTTATATTTATGGATTTTGTGGGTAATCTTGACAAAAATTGTCTGATTTCATGTTGATCTAGCTCCATTAATGTGTTCTCTTTAGATTTTAATAATGCCAAAGTGACAAACAATAATTCAACATGAGGATCCAATTTCGAGAAGGGGATGTTGAATTCATCGGTCAGAGCAATGTTGGATGATGACAATGAAGAGGAAGATAATGGCAGCGGAGGAAGTAAGTCTTCATTAATTAAAGAATTCAGCGGGGAATTGGAAGTAGGAGAATTCGAATTTGATGACTCATTAATATTGAGTTCATTAATTAAATCCTTAAATGAATTAGACTTCTTATAATTTTCTATTGTCAGGTCGTCATTATCTTTACTTACAGACCAAAAATTGTCGGGACCCAACTTATTAATTAGGTTGTTACTCAAACCTAGTTTTTCCACATAATATGAATTTGATTTCTTGAAATTTTGTAACCTCCAGCCAAAAATTAAATCCCAGATTCTTCCTCGATCTAACCTTGACCAAACTTTTGAGCCACACCACTTTAACCACCAGATTAACCATTCATCATCATGACTACCAAACTTATTTAAGATCTGTTCTTCTTGGAAGTATTGCGATAATTCAGGTAATAACTTTCTAAAACAGTAAATAAAAAAAGAAACTCTTTCTTCTATAGTACCACCATTAATGGGTAAGATCTTTCTATTAATTTTCTTTGGGCCCAATAAATCTTTTGATTTATTCTTAATCTTTTCCTCAGGTGCATGCAATAAAACTAAAACTAACCGTTCATAAACGTCTCGAAAGGACATGTTAATAATTTCTTTATCGTTAACTAAATCCTCAAGATATTCACTTAGGTTTGGAACATTATTAATATAATTCGAATAATCATGAAAAAGGTTTTTAATGCACGATGTTTTGGATGAAGGAAAATCTCTACCTACCAAGACCCATGATGTATTAGGGATTGGAGGAAACCATTCAGCGAGACCTAATGCAATCCATGTCAACGCATGATCATATTTGATTATCTTTCCCCATTTATTAACGAATTTTAAAATTGAAGATTCCAAAATTTTGAAGATTTCTTGTTCTTCTCTTGAAGCATTATTCAAATCAATTAAATTTGAGTAGTTCAAACGATGTATATATTTTAGCAAGTCCCTCTTTATGTTCAGCTTGAGATCTTCCTCAGTGTTTGTGTCATTTTCATTATGGACTTCGTTATCTGGCTCAATAAATGGATTAACGACAAATGGATGGTGCTTCAATAGTATTGGCCAAATTTTAAATCTTAAGAAGGGGGGTAAACCTTTTTGTCTAGCAACCAATGCCAAACCTTGATGATTCTTCGTCGTGAGATAATGTTTACAAAGTTCAAAAATTTCAGAATCATAGCTAAATGATGGCTGTCCTAGTTTGGAATTGTTTTCAGTGCTACCATCGTTCTCATCATCCGCTTGATCGTTTTCTAACTTATTATGAGGCAAAAACCCTTCGCGAGTCAGAGCGTCAGTGTCTTTCTCCTGCTTATTACAATCATCAGGAACCACCTTTTTTCCTAGAGTATGTATCAGACCATTTTCTGAGTCACAAGGCATTCTAACAGTATTATCAGATGCCAGGGTATAATCAATATTATATTCAACAGCTAATTCTTTAGGAATAAAACTTTTAGCAGCCTGGGTATTTGTAGGTAATTTTTTCGAACTTAAAATAGAAGTAGGACTATCAGTATTAATGAAATCTTGGGACATATTAATTAAATAATATATCTAGTGTGACAATTGTTATTTTTAATACATTATGCATATGATTCAAGACAGGAAGACAGGAAAATGAAAGTACATATATAGTTGTATATATGTATGTTTAATATTATATATAATATATACAAGATGTATACAATATATATGTATTTGATTTCGGTTTACGTCTTACGATCACTTTCCGATTAATTTGGATTGGTGAATTTTCGGAAAACGTAATTTGAGTGTACCAACCAAAAAGATTTTCGTCGTGCTTGACTCGATGTCGCCGACTATTGCTTCAAAGTATAGAGGCTACGCTCTAGGCAATGGAGTTTATGTAGCCGATCCCAAATTCGACAAGGCAGAAGGGTTCTGAAATGAATTGTTGGGATTTTCAATTTTTTTGCACCCATTACCACTAAAAATAGCCGGCTAGATTCAAAACCACACTTATTCAACTCAATTGAATTGGTATTATTCCTTTGCAGATGTCTTTGCTTGTTTCGGCTTTGTATCTTCAAAAAAACTTGAAATATCAGCATCTATATACAAGGTAAGTAATAATATCAGTAGAATCGTCAACCTTCGCTTTCATTATGCGGGTTGATATAAGGATAGTACCTGCTTGAATCTTCAGACTTCTTCTACGACCTACATGGTCTCTTTTCTTGATCCATGGACATAATCTACTACCCCTATTGAAGAATACGAATTACGACAAAAAAAAAAAGGTTCCAAAATATCGCATTTGAGTCACCCTCGCTGCAATCGTCTATTATCCCTGTCGTAAATTGTCTCTCGACTACATGAGAGAGACAAAAATTTTCAAACTTAAGGAACAGCCTAACTACCTAAAAAACAACTGCTATATCACCACGAGAAGGAACAAGTGCAAGTAAAAAAGAGATGGGAAGGCATCCAAAGGAAAGGGATGCTAATTTTGATAAAGGAATGTTACCTCAATAACGCACCAATTCATCGATAAAATAGTATACCACTTTTCCGAAGACTATAGATCATCGATGACAATCGATAGAGTTAGTTGGTAATATGAAAACTTTTCAATAGAAGCATAGCATAGAATTCAGAAAAGATGATGTCTGTTTTTTAAGTTGTTATCAGGTGCATGATGCGACGTTTTCTACTGCGTTCTATTTTGGAGCAATGCGGAAGTGTTCCAAATTAGGCGAAGCAATGAATTTCTTTTTATTCTGTCGTTAATTTATATCACACGTGACTCAAATTTGACTATCTACCCACACAATATATAAAGGGGGTATATTGCCACTCAGTCCAAATGTTATTATACTGTTCTTTATACTTTTAGTTAATAAGTTAATTTAATAATCAATTTATAAATATGCAAATCTTCGTTAAAACATTAACAGGTAAGACCATTACCTT